AGCCCTGCATCGACGCGTGTGTATGGACAAACATGGCACTTATGCACCCTGGGACATTGGCGCTGAGCATCTTGCTGCAAGTTTGTTAGGTTCTTTATCTTTTTGTACATCGCGTGGGAGTGCGTTTCAAGCGACCTTCTTATCTGGATGATGGGCGGTCTGGGCGGAGGCGGACGAAGCGGCCCCTTATCTCTTCTCCAGGTTTTCGCTTTCCCCGGATGTCGCTTGCCGGTGGATTGGATCCTTTTTTTGATATAGATGCGATCTGCTGCTCCTCCTACTGCCTCTCCGGTCGAATTTACTCGCACTTTTTGCAGCCTGTCCATCCGGGGGCTTTCGGTCTGCTTCGAAGCGCTCGACACTACGAATTGGCACCGCTTGATGGGAGAAGAAGGCTTCCTACCCGATAAAAAGACGACATCTATCGTGTCCGACATGACGAAGCCGGACTGTGAGCCTTGTGGGAACGAAATGGCACTGACGCGATGGATCGTGAGGAGCTGGGAGAACGTAATCGACATGACTGGGATCGCGTCTCCTCCCTAGGATACCTTTGCCATGTTCGGGGCTGGTGACGATCATTAACCTTCAGACTACTGGCTACAACACCAGCAACACCGATTTTTCTCTACAACGTGGCTGGCTCATCGATGTCAAAAGGATGCCAGATAGCAAGGAAGATTCTCTCAGTCTCCTGTTATCCTGCGCCAACGATTTTTGCCCTCTAGGTGATAGGGACGTTGCCCTTGTTCGAGTCTTCCCGGCGGCCTCACGGAGAACCAAAGTGCCACCAGCCATGCTGGAGCTGGCTTGGCTCATTGAAAGCCCTTCGCCATAACACATAAATGGCCTCGATTGGTAACCTGAATCGGGGTGGCACGCAACCTCACTTGCTACACATACCTACCGCCACTAATATTACAGGACCGTACTTCGACTCGCTGTCGATAGTCACGAGAAGACATGGTCTCCTCTCCGACAACATACCATCCCGAACCGAGTTCACGAGCTTTGGCCCGACACGATACGATATGATATGATACCTTGCCGTTCAGCACTGTCCCTTTCTTTCAAACCTGCCTGTCGATAGGTGCCAAAGCATCGGCTACGGTGGTTGCGGAGATCGAGCGTCGTCGCCGAGCTTGGCCTCCTACACCATGGATAGTGGAAGGTTTGCTTTCGGCCATGGTTTTCACGGTCTCCGTTATGGAGACGTCACTGGCTATGTTGCCAAACTGGAAAGGGGTTGATGTTACCCTAAAGGACTTTGGTGGTGTGTAGATCGGGGGCGCCTCTACGACGGCCTCTCAGTGACACTGGCCAAGCCACTGAAACCACTCAGCATGCCGCTACCGTCGCCCAAGCAGCGCCCGGAACTTCGCAAGTCAAGATGGGCAAGGGCGATTATTATTTTGGATGGCGGTAAACAAAGCGATGCCTCCCCAAGTCGAGCGAGGAAGTGGGATGATGGACGGCCATCTACCCAAAGGGGAAAACTTCTGGTTCTTTACCAATGTCCTTGTTGCATGGAAGGCACACGGTATATAGTACCGGGCACATGGAGGGTGGACCGATGCCTATCTCGACAAGATACTGTTGGACAAGATGGATGGCGAACATTCACGGACGGATGTTGGCGGCCGACCTCTGGCGGCGCGCCTCTCGCAAAAGGTAGGTGGGGTGATAACATTATGAGTATGGGGCAGGCTTCTTAGTAATGGAATGCTGGAGGAATCAACACGTCTAGAAGGGTTGAATAGTTGATCAATAGACTAAATAGGTTAGCATCGTGAGAAAACAAGTTGAAAGAAGTTCCCAACTCCTACCGAAATATGTGGCAATGGATCCCTTCCATCAATCATGAATAGCAGTCGCAACATCGCCAAACTCCAGTCGGCCTTGAATCGAGTCTTCAATGGGTCGCGAAGCGAGTTGTGAGACGTTATAAAGTCAGGCTCGGCAACGATTGTGAACTCTACATTGGTCTTCGGTTTTCCACCGTCTCCAGAGCCTAGGCCTCCTGCCACCTATACGCGACACTGTTGGAAGTGATTCAGAAGGGCTTGAACGTTTGTACCGACGCTTGCCTGTTGCTCATGGGTAAGGAAAGCCGGACAAGGTGGTGGGGAGGGAGCATTTGAACTAGCTGCCTGTTCGCACAGACTGCTATCCATGTACCTTTGGAAATGGGAGTTCTGGCGAGAGAACAGAGTTGGCAATAACACCAAGCACGATCCATAATAATTAGATCCCCCCCCAGAGCCTTTGGCCTGCAGCGTGCTCTACTGTTGCCGAACCTCACAGTATAGCGTCCGGTATTCTGGCGCCGAGAAGCAACACCAACCACGTCGTCGTTCATTGTCACAAGCAGTGGTCGTAGAGTAGGAAGATAGGACTTCATGCAATTTCAAGGTGCTCCCATACCTTCACCCGTGGTCCTTCAATATACCGTGTATGTATGTGGTGACTGCCAGTCTGCGCACGGCAGGTAGACTATGGAAGATTGCGTGTTGAAGCTTGATACGGGAAAGTCCTTCAGACATTCGTAACCGTATACAAAGATGTCGTGCGTGGCGTCGTCGTAACTCTCCGGCAGAGCTCAATAGCTAGAAACAGTGTGCTCGCGACTTCTACGAGTTCTGCGAGTTCTGCGTGAAGGAAGTTTACGACTTCCAAGATTCATATTCAAACTCCAGACTCTGCGCGAGACACGACATCGTCTTGCTTCAAGTGTTGCATTCATTAAAAGGCCTTGTCAGTCATTTTCGACGCTCGAGAATGCCTAGTCAACATCAACTACCTCATAGGCACCTATCTAGGCTCTCGATTCAGCATCAGCGTGTGACCCAGTAAGGCGTTTCCGAAGTGGGAATGTTTCGGTGCCCTCCTACAACTACAAGTGACCTGCAGGTAAGGGACGAGTATTATCCGGAGGTTCAAAGTGAAGCCACTGCCGAAAGCTTTCAACAGTCACTTTTGGTTTCTTGGTCAACCCAATTATGTATTAGTCGACCCGCCGCTTCCCAACTTACCCTCGCTACCCGTACAGTTCTCCGCCTCAACCAACAATCTGCACATCGATATCGCCCAAACGATGGCGAACGAAAGCCAGCCAGAGAATCCATGGTTCGAGGCAAACAAAGCATGGATGGATCGTTGTCAGTGTTTGTCCGTCACCCCAAGTGCAAAGAGAGTCATTGCCATGGTTTCGTGGTCAGCACAGTCCGCCGCAGACATGTGTCCCGTTGCTCTATGCCACGGCGACAAAAATACCCCACCACAGCAAGGCCGAAACGGGTCTATTCAGAAGTCTAATCACCAGAAGAATCACCAAGGTGGTGAATGCTTTGGTCTTGGGTGATGTCGGCGACGTACACCGCTACTTGGTAACGTTTCATAATGCGGAAATGCTTCTTCAAGGCGTCGAGGCGGAATCCTGTTACCATCTTGCTGACTCGATCCTGTAAATCATACAACCATTGACTCGGATGAGCCCGAGGAGCACGTAGGTGTCTGCGGTCTCATTGGTTGCAAATTTCCGTAAGATTATAAGACCAAAGAGAGGCCGGAAGACGCCATGTTTGCATGTATATACAAAACTGCTCAGTTGAGTCTGGGTGTGGAGTGAGTGTGAACGGTTTACAGGAAGAGAGGGAGAGGGAGTACAGGGAGAAACCGTCGGTTCTCTCAAGGATTCAGCCCTTGGTTACTCTAAGAGAAGCAAAAGTCCTGGTGGGTCGACCTCGTTGCGACGACTGACGCAAATTTCTGCACCGAGTCAACAATGTTCTTTGATTAAAGCTCACATTTTCAAATCGAAGTATCGACGAGGAGTGTAGTACATGCTGTATTTAAAGGATACATTGGGTCTATATATCCAATGGCTTTGGGTTGCTGAGAGATACCACATGTGGTCTGGTCAACTTGTAGGGAGTGGGTTTCCTGACTACACTGGCACAGATGGAGCCCTTGGCCGTACGATCTCGTGGCAAATATCTGACTGTATTGCGGTTCTGCCGTAACAGAAACCTGCTCATAGCCCCGGAGGACGAAGTGTTTGAAAGATGTGCTGCATCATTCGACATACTTGGGGACCCCACTTAGCAGAGACTGGTAGAATATGTATACATGGGCTCCCTCGAATATCGTTGACGATACATAAACGAAGCTTTGTATAAGCATATGTAGGGATGCATCGGACTGTATGCTGTAACCTATGAGCTTCTGACTGTGCGGATTCAGCCCTCGCTTTCGTCTATGGCTTTCAAACGATGCTCAAAGCAGCGCTGTTGGGGAAGCTAGCAGTACGAGCCCATTCAGAGGAGCCTTTAATCTATGTCTTGAGTGAAAGCAGAAGCCCTGTGCCAAACCCCGAGTGGTGCATCGTATGTGTGGTTAAAGTTGGGTTGGCTTTCGGCTCACAGCCGAACATCTCCCGGTCTTCGGACTAGAGCATTGCGTCACCCTCTGCAGCCGGCGATCCACCCGCTAGTGCGGGGCCGAACATGTGGGGCCCGATTCTTGAACCTGTCAGCATGAATAATCCAATCCTAAGCAGCGCAATTGTGAAAAAAACCGGCCAGTCATCGCCCACGGCGATGGCCCCCTTAGGTAAACGCTTAGACAGCTTCACAGGGGCATGTGTAAGACCCTTACAGTAGTCTCCTGCGCCCAGCAAATGACAACATATAAGCTCCCGTGTAGATTTGCAAATGCTGAACAACAATCTCAAACCAGATTCACGTTGATTCTCGATTGTACCAGCCTTTCCCCGTCGTTCGAGCAGCCCCGAGCTTCAAGTATATATGCCTCGAGTTGCAACCCCCACTGCGATCTTTGTTGTTTTCGTTTCCATCCTCATCGTCTTCAACACACAGCTCAAGAGCTTCTTCACAGACATCACTTCTTTATTTATCAACACCGACACAACCACCACCACGATTCAAACCAGTATTCCAGCCTCGTCTGAACCGTCCATGCTCAACTCAGTCAAGACCACAATGTCCAAGACTCTTCACCATGCAAAGATCACGCCGCACCGGAGTGGCACCCGCGGCCATGCAGACCACGGCTGGCTCAACACCTACCACAGCTTCTCGTTCGCCAACTGGTACGACCCGCGCTTCAACAACTTCGGCGCCCTGCGCGTCCTCAACGAGGACCGCGTCAAGGCCAACTCGGGCTTCCCCACGCATCCCCACCGAGACTTTGAGATCTTCAGCTACATCCTCTCGGGCGAGCTGACCCACCGCGACTCCATGCTGCAGAAGGGCGCCGAGGGCGGCCAGAGCGACAAGTTCTACCGCATGCACCGCGGCGACGTTCAGTTCACCACCGGTGGCACGGGCATCGCGCACTCGGAGATGAACGAGCACAACAAGGACACGGTGCACTTCCTCCAGATCTGGGCCATCCCGTGGAAGCGCGGCCTGCCGCCTACCTACCACACGCGAAACTTCCCCGAGGACGAAAAGCGCAAGGGCTTCGTCAAGATCCTGTCCCCGCTGAAGGCCGGGCCCGATGCCACGGCGGCCGAGGAGAAGGCCGCGGAGCCATCGATCCCGGACACGATCCCGATCCACGCCGACTTCGTCATGGGCGCGGGCATCATCGAGCCCAGCAAGGTCTTTGAGTGGAACGTCGGCGCCAAGGTGACGGAGCAGACGAAGCGCAAGGTCTACATCCACCTGCCGATGACCAAGAGCGGCAAGGCCAAGATCAGAATCGACGGCCGCGACGACGCCGTCTTGTCTGAGGGAGACGGCGCGTTCATCGATGCTGTCAACGCTGGGGACAAGTTGAATGTCGAGAGCGTCGGCGAAGCCGAGGCCGAGGTCGTGGTTCTGGATACGGCATGAAAAGGACAAATGGTATTACGGGCATGATAAAAGGTTTTATGTTTTGAGCGAATTAGAATATCCACTTCTGTAAACACCTTGAATTCCGCATTGAACTTGTTAGACTACGAAAAGAATTGTGTTGCTATTCCACCCGGAGGTGAACAAATCGACGATGCATCTCTATTTTTGATGGATGGATCTCGGAATCCTTCCGAGTGAAACTGGAGTAAACTTAGCATCAAACGGGATGTTAAAGTTGACTCATCTGGTAATCTGCGTACTGTCTCTTGAAAGCAGAGGAATAAGCGAATATTTCTCGTCGCCCAAACCGCTTGATCTCGTCCCGGATTGTTGCTAATAATATACTGTCTTCGCCAAGATCAAGACCGCTCAATAGCAAGTGATTCGGTGACAGATCAGTTGTTTGGGGGCACCTTAAGTGAGTCGAGCAAGATAATTTGGAGAAGAATAAACTGTCATGTTGAAGCTCCCGAAACAATCGAGCGTCCTCATTCCCGTTCAAGCTCATTGTTGAGAGCAGTGGTTTTACAGGCATCGTTCAAAGTCGACACAGCAGGCTGTGGGACAGGCTGAATAATTGCTGAGGGGACTGTGCGTAAAGTTCTGCAAACAGTGGAGTAAGAGAGTTTTTGTGTGTATTTCACACAGTGCGCATACCTAGGAGACGTGCGGGGGAGCTGCTTGCAAATCGGGTTTCAATTTTTTCACATAGTTAATAATTCAGACTCATCAACACCACTTGCAAAACTAAACGCCACCATAGCATTACCCCTTTAAGACCACGGTTAACGGTGGCTGAGCACAAACACTCTGCCTTTCATCATGCATCTCCAGCCCATTGACAACACAGAGATCGAGCCCTTCACCAGCGCCATGGATACCGACCCACGCATCACCATCATGCCGGAGGGGCAAGAGATCTTCGATGATGTCTGGGGCTCGGAGCCGGGCTCGCCATCCAACATGCCCCAAGACGCACCCACGGGAACACACCCCGGCGATATTCCAAGGCTGCAGGCCGAACACACCACCGCCGGTTACCGCGAGGGTGTCACCGTGGCCAAAGCTCAGAGCATCCAGACGGGGTTTGATGAGGGCTTCAGTCTAGGAGCCGAGATCGGGTCCCTCGCCGGCCAGATCGTGGGCGTGCTCGAGGGAATCGCTGCCGCCTTGGATGGCCACGACAAGACCATCGCGGAGGCCGCGCGAAAGACTTCAGACGACGCCAAGACTGAGCTGAAGACGGACTCTATCTTTACACCCGCATTTTGGAACACTGACGGGACCTGGAAGTTCGACGTCGACGAGCACGCGGGTGACGAAATCCTCTTCTCCGACGTAGCTCGTGCCCATCCTCTCATCCAGAAATGGACAAAGATTGCAGATGCCGAGGTTGAGCGATGGGGAATCGTCCTCGATGCAATCGGTGATGCACAGGAGCACGACAGACTGCCAAGCCCGGAGCGGGCCCCAAGCTCCGCGGTGCCGCAGACGAAGAAGCCCCTGGACTGGTGAAGTCTTCTCTCCGCTGGCTGCTTTCCCTCCAGAGGGCGCGCCGCATTTTGTGCGCCCAAGACGACCAAGGCTTCATCAAGCTTTTTCGCAACTGAACCCTCGGGGCCGACCTGGCCCCGCGGCAAGCGAGCCCTCGTCTACAGTGCCGCTGGTCTCATGTCACGATTACGTCCGGGCCATCGTTGGTTTCCAGTAAGTTGCTATTTCGATGGGCTGTGCCGGGTGGGGACGGTGTATGCTAAATCGGCGTAGAGCAAAATGCATTGATATTACGAAGTATTATTACTCCGGTCGTTTGAGTTTTCCCGCAAGACGAGGAACCCCTTGGTCCTTGCTAGGGTAGAGCTAAACCGAACTCGCGGGCACTTGCCTCGCAAGAGTCCCCTCTTTGTAGAAGGGCGGTGGCGAGCGAATGGCTTGGAGACGAAGGCGAGCCGCAAGTTGGACAGCGGCTATGCGGCTTCCTCACGTTATGGCAAAGAAAGTCATTCACTCTAGCTGGTTTCCGCATGACTCTTTGGCCATCGCTTTTCCTATTGGAGATTGATGGCGAGCGGGCCGTTTTGAATGACCTTTAACCAACAGGAAATGTGTGGATGAATTGCGGTTGCACCGCTTGTTAGCTAGACACTGACAGAGAAGCGATGCAGTTTCAAGGTTGAGGGCGGCAACACTATGAAGGAAGCCTTGTCTGCCGATTCGACCATACGTTGGATGCACTTCAACTAGTCCGCTGCATTAAGGAGAAATTGCATGAAATTCACAACGTGAAGAGATGGACCAGCCGCCATCGCCATGAGTATTTTAGGTGATGGATCTTCGGTGTTGAGTGTACCAAGCCCAGCATCCCACCGCCACCGTTCGGCCAGGAGACTCGAGGATTTTACTGCGGAGGGAGGCCACCAATCATCCCATCTCCTCATTGACATCATTCTACCATCAACCCAGTGAACGATCCCCCGGCTCCATAGAGTTTCGGAGTTCGCGAAATGGAAGGCGACAACCAACTTGTGCCTGGTGCTTGGCACTGGAAATTAGACGTATTCATGGGAGAGAGGATCATGGTGTTTCGAAAGTTCGGATGATGGGCTGTGCTGCCTCACCATTGGAGGGGTCAGCCCATCTTGTGGTCGAAGTCTCTTTAAGCTCAACACCATTAGCGCCGAGTCCGCAGGGATCCCCGCTATAGACCGTGGTAGAACCGGAAGCGCGCCCCTGGTTGTCAGAAGCGGTGACATCGCCCCCACCCCTTGTTCGACTCCTCCCCCGTGGCCTTGGACGAAGATCTAGAGTGGCTGCTCTGCACAAGGATGGTGGGCAATCAATCCCATCTACCGGAGACCATCCCCCGTCCCTGTATCGGAACCATGCGGAAAGCAGACTGCGCCCATTTTCAGTCCTCCGTCCCTGCCTTCTCAACCCGTCATTGTCTCTTCCCTTCCCTCCGAGCAGAGATCAGCGGCCCGTGGGAGACCAGGCTTTCCCAATTTGCCTTTTCCGTACTATGTATACAGACCTGTCGTCCCAAATCGACCCAACGTAATTTTAGCAAAGAATCGTCCGAGCTGGGCCGTCCTTGTGATCATGCCCCTGATCTACAATAAGGCCCGAGACGGACTACCCTGTCACGGCGACCTTCGATAGGCCGATGGAGGCCTGCAGGTTACCCTTCTTTCAGCCGCCCCCCGCCCCCTGAGCCATGGAAGGCTTCTATACTATGTATGGAGACAAGATGACATGATTGTGATTAAAGCTAATTCAGTATGGCGATTCGACGAGGATCTCCACGAGCCTACTCAGGATTTGCCTCCAGTGACCTAACCCTGGCCCCCGTCTCTTCATCATCGTCGTGCCCCCCCCCCCCCTCTGTGGCATCCGCGATGAAAAAGGTTGAAAAGGCCGGCCCATCACCCGGTCTTACTCGCTTCCTCTCTCTTCTCTTCAGTATCTCTGATACCAATACATTCGCTAATACCTTCAATTCTGTCCCGCGCTCTCTACTTCCCCTTAAATTCATTCTCACCCGTTACATTCGCTCACTTACTCGAGCAAACCATCACCCACAATGCGCTGCGTCACCATCACAGTCCTCGGCCTCGCGGCCATTGCCTCCGCAACATGGGACGGCCAATTCAGCTACCCTCCTGGCATTGAGCCTCTGGCCCTGGCCAACGGTAACGTCGACTTCAACATCAAGACCTTCGGTCCCATGACGGGCCCGCCAGAGGACTGCATCTCCGTCTGGCACCCGCCGCACCCGGACGTCTACATCGACGATTGTGACAGCGACAAGGAGCACGGCTGGCACTGGATCCACCCGGGCAAGCCCAAGTGGTGGGGCAAACCGGGGAAGGACAAGGACCACGACAAGCCTGGCAAAGACAAGGACCACGACAAGCCCAAGCATCCGCACCAGCCATGTGACAAGTGCAACGACACCGCGCAGCCTCAACCAACCACCACTCCCCAATGGAAATGGACCACCTCAACCATCACCCAAACCGCAGTCTCCACCGTTTTCAGCTGTCCACCCACTGTTCCTGACTGCCCCGCCAATGGCGGAGGCACAATGTACACGACCGTCACCGTCCCGGCCGTCGTAACTATCTGCCCTGTGCCCGTCGAGCCGAACCCCGGCCCGACGACGCCGCCGGCAGCCCCCCGGCGCCCACCACGCCGCCTGCTGAGCCCGTCCCCAGCGCTCCTTCCCCTCCCGAGACCCTGTCTTCAGTCGTCCTTCCGCCCCCCGTTTCTTCCAGCCCTCCTGAGGTCCCTCCGGTGCCGTCTAGCCCGGCCGAGGCCCCGCCAGCCACGACCACCAAGCCTGATATCGGCACTGTCACAAGGCCCAACCCGACTGCGACCACGAGCCGCGCCGTCGTCACTGCTGGCGCTGCTCAGAACGTCCAGCGGGCAGGCGGCGTCGTGGTCGCCGCCGTTGCAGCTGTTGCAGCCCTTATCTAGAAGCACTCAGCTTCCTCTCGGCTTCCGACAATTTTTTCTTTACCTTTTTTTTTAACACATGTTACTGGGACACACGGCTTGGGAAATGGGTTTACGGATTGGATAGAGGTACATCATGATATCAGGTGTGGGTATAACGATAACGTATAGTAATGACTGGGATTCAATGGAACGGCTTTGGGATTCTATTCGGACGGAATCGGCTGTGGTTCCTCGGGCTTCGCAAACTTGGGGCGAAGAAAGGAATTTGGCTCTGGCGTCCGAGAACCCAACTTAATTAGTTAAGGCTAATATAATGGGTTGTGTCTTTTCATTTCGAATACTTCCTCCCCCCGTTGACCCGAGATCTTGATGTAGACCCGGTAGCACCTCATTGAATTATGACTTCCTTCTTCCATCAGCTGGCCTTCGAGGCGCCGCCACTGCCCTGGCCTCGATGAAGAAGTGTACCGGTTTCTTTCCGACGTTGTTGGTTCCACCAGTGGCGCGAGTCTAAGTCGTACTGCAACTGAGCAGTTGCGGATCAATGGCAGATCTACAAGTTCTGGGGAAACCTCTAGGGCAGATCAATCATTGATACGACCCGCATTTCTCTCTTAAGTAACCTCCTCTGAGCTGTCCTCGCTGTGGGCCACACTTCGGCCGGACGATCGAGCGAGTTTTCCGCTGCATGATGCCGTATGTTGAGTGCAATATGCTTATATTTGCGTTTGGGTCAAGTTGCGGATGGCTCGGATCTCCACATCCGAGTCGAAAGGTCATCAATGCTGGGAGCCGAAAGCACAGGTCGCATCTGACCCACTCCAAATGACAGCTGGTGAAGGCGTTTCGAGGATTCGGGGCCGGTGGCTAGTTCAGAAGTCGACTCAAAGAATCCTTGCCGAAGGCCGAAGGAGGTTGGGCATGCCCATTGACTTTTCAAGTCGGGTTCTTTTCGCCAGGAATCAAAGGATATCAAATATCCAGTCAGCGGGATGTGACCCAAAACCCTCTTCGTTTTCCCTCATCAAAGTGGCAACCCATCAATGTGACACCCGTATACTTTAGTAGTCAGGAGTATGCTGCGTGGCTCGCCACCTGAGCAGCAGACTTCAGAGCTTGTTTGCTGTTTCCAATGCCAGCTCAAGTGCTTGCCAGCCGCTGCGCGACGTCCTCCACGCGACAGCTGTCGCCCAGAAGGTCTCTCGTAACCTCCCGATCACGCCCTGCTGAGCCGAGTACAACAAGCTTCTGAATTTGCCCATCCTCGCTCATGACCAGTCTGCCTGCCCGGCCGTCGGCCCATTCGATGCTGATTTGCTTGGCTTCGGTATCTGCGGCCGTGATACTGGCGACCGCCTGCTCCGAGTCCTCATCTGCATCGCTGCTGCCATGTAGGCCAGCAGCCTTCTGCAAGTCGCTAATGACGGCAGTCCGGTTGTGAAACCTCACAATCTCCCTTCTCAGTGTCCGTACAAAGCGGGACAAGTCCTGAGTCTTCTGTCCTTCGTCGTCGGCTGGCTTTGGTGCCGGGAGGTGACGCGCTGCAAGCGCAGCCAGTGGGATACACGGAGGGACGGTGTGTCGGTGGACTCGTAGGTGTCGGGACTCCTTGTATGGCCGGTTGAGCATGACATAATATGGTCTGCGGAACTTGGCGTCGGACATGATTTCGATACGAATGCCAAGGACGTGGCCACGATCAACGGCATTAGGATCAGGATCTTGGACCTTGAAGGTCGTGACGGTCGCGCAGGTTCGGTAGAGACATTGCTGATCGTGCGAGGCTTGGGCCTTGGACCGAGAGAGGACTTGGTCGCGGACCGGGTTCGGATCGGATGGAAGCGCAAGCGCACCGCGTTTTTGCTTGTCTGTTTGTAGGGCGGTTCGCGTCGACTCGGTGGAGATGAGAGCCGTGGCTTGCACTTTCAACTCTTTTTTCAAAGAGGCGACTGGCAGCAGCAACATTCAGCATCTGCATGTGATTGGACTGGTTGGTCGCCTACCTTTGGCTCTGAGATCATTGATCTCTTGATTAAGGGCCTCGGAGGCAACATCTTGCGATTCGGCTGACATGTTATAGAAACGCCGCAATTGTCGTGATTTGCAATGACGTGATCTAGGTGATTGACGCGGTTGACGCGTCTTGGTGAAGTTAACATACGTTGCTAGCCAAGCAACATAGCGCAACGAAAACACCTGAACCTAGTCAACATTCCAGTGCGGAATACGACACCCGCGGGGATGCTTATCTAATCCCTTATCTTATCAACTGCCGACCGTCCAAACACGGCATGGCGCCAGGGGTCCCAGGCAGCGTTCCGGGTGGCTTTGCCTGAGTGGAGCGCGTCTGGACCTGGATAAGCTTCTTTGCATCTTCTCCCGTGTCTCTTTCGTTTCTCGAAGTATCGTCGCAACCAAGAAACACACTTTTTGTTGTCTTGAAGTGCTACGGTAAAATTCGCATCCTCTCAGTCCACGTTGGACTTGAGTCCTTTTTTTCTTATCAAACTTCATTCTTACCCCTTACCGTCATTTTCTTTTGGAACTCGTCAAAACAAATTGACCACATTTCATTCCCTATCTTTGCCACTGGCGTTCCCTAAAAGAGTCAAAGGCCACGGTTGCGCTTCCACTGGTCCCGTGGGCATCGCCCTTTGCCTCCCGTCCTTCCTTCAACCAACTCAACCACACAGGAAACCAGGCTCTCGATCTCCCGGTGCCTAGCGTCATTTTGCCTGTCATTGGTCTAAGCTGCTGTTTAAGACACTGTCGCCTTGACTCCCACGGACCCTGCTCCACCCCTCCTTCGACCTTGTCTCGTCCTTCCTGGACAAAGAAACTTCTCTTTTCTTACGACCTTCGACCTGTCGCAAAAAGTCTCCTAATCCATATTCTACACTCTCAACACCCCTTCCTGCGACCGAGACCTCTACTTCCCGTTACGATTCAACGCTGCGCCGTAAGCTCCAATCCAACAGCCCTCCACCACGACCCAAGCCCAAATGAGCGTCCGAACACGCCGGAACAAATCCGTAAAGCGAAAAGCTTTGGCCGATCTAGCTGTCGACACAGACGGCACAAACGGCCACGCCAACGGCGAGATGAACCAGAACAACGTTGAATACCGACGCAAGGCGACGACTCCCGGCTCCGACACCGTTACTGCGAACCTCATGTCGCGCGAGTCCTTTACCCTCGACGACCCTGTCCCCAAGACCCCCATCGCCAACAATCATGGCTTCTTTGAGTTGCCCGTACAAGACCAAAGGAATTTCCTCCTGTTGGTGCTTCTGTACTTCCTGCAGGGCGTGCCCATGGGCCTGGCGGGCGGCTCTGTGCCCTTCCTCATGAAGGACCACATGTCGTACAGCGAGATTGGAATCTTCAGTCTGGCCTCATACCCCTACTCTTTGAAGCTTCTCTGGAGTCCGATTGTGGACGCAGTCTGGAGCCCCAAGGTCGGGCGCAGAAAGAGCTGGATTCTTCCCATTCAGCTGCTCTCCGGATTGGGTATGTTGTGGCTCGGGTCGACTGTGGAAAACATGATGGCCAACACCGGCAAGCCCGGCGGTCCTACCGTGTGGAACTTCACCGGCTGGTGGTTCTTCTTGGTGTTCATGTGCGCCACTCAAGATATTGCTGTAGACGGCTGGGCCTTGACCCTCCTGACACCTGGAAACGTTTCCTACGCGTCCACCGCGCAGACTGTCGGTCTTACTGCGGGCCACTTCTTGTCTTACACGGTTTTCTTGGCATTCAATTCCAAGGACTTCGCGAACCGCTACTTCCGCAGCTCTCCGTTGGACCACGGACTGATGTCTCTTGGCGGATATCTCACTTTCTGGGGCTGGGCCTACATTGCCATCACCATTGGGCTGTCTCTCTTCAAGCGTGAGGAGAAAACCAAGAACGAGGACGGCATTTGGGACGTCTACAAGATCATGTGGGGTGTCCTTAAGTTAAAGAACATCCAGACCATTATCATTGTCCACCTCATTGCCAAGATCGGCTTCCAGGCCAACGATGCCGTCACGAACCTCAAGCTCATCGACAAGGGTTTTGGACAGGAGAATATGGCTTTGACAGTTCTCATCGACTTCCCCTTCGAGATCGCGCTCGGATATTACGCCGGCAAGTGGTCACAAGAGTACACTCCTATGCGCTTGTGGTGCTGGGGCTTCATGGGTCGTCTTGTCGCTGCTCTCATCGCCCAGTTCACTGTCACCATTTTCCCGGCTGGCGGCGTGACCTCCTGGTACATGCTGGTGGTTATTGGCGAGCATGTCTTCTCGACTTTCACCAACACGGTCATGTTTGTTGCCGTCTCGGCTTTCCACGCTAGAATCGCAGACCCTGTCATCGGTGGCACCTACATGACTCTCCTGGCTACGTAAGTCAAGCTTTATCTTCTGTTATAGTACCTATGCTAACTCGTCATCAGCGTCTGCAACCTTGGCGGTACGTTCCCGCGCTTCTTCGTCCTCCGTCTCGTCGATTATTTCACTGTCGCAACCTGTCACCCTGGCAACCCGGCGGATCTGAACGCCCTCAAGGGCTCAGTCATCACCGAGCCCTTCTCGTGCTCCTTGCAGCCCGAGAAGGAGAAGTGCGTTGCTGGTGGTGGCTCTTGCGAGATGGTGCGCGACGGATACTACTTCGTCAACATCATCTGCGTTATTTTCGGCGTCGTCACGTTCATGCTCTACATCCGACCCAGAGTTCTGCATCTACAGTCCTTGCCCATGAGAGCATGGCGCCTGTCGCCGTCCAAGTAAGGCGCGGGCTATGCATAGAAAAAAGTTCATGTAACATATTAGCATCACGTAGCGAGATGGTTTGGAGACCTCAAGAGAGACAACAGGTGTATTCGATACTTTTTATTACCGTGTATGCGCGCTATGCCGTTAGATACGTGACGCTCGCCAAAGTCTGTCAAAAACACAACTTCTTCTGTTCCACTGGAAAAATTTACTTCTGCAGCGACTGAATGTGCTGCGAATGCAGATCCTGCACGGCGGGGATGATCAAGCTCTCGATGTCCATCTCAGGATCACCTTCGGGCAGCGCGCTCGGATCAAGCGGCCTGTCCTCCCACGTCTCGGACCCGTCGCCAGCGGGGTTCTTGCGCAGCGCGCTCGGCACTCGGACCCACCGGTCGGCCTGGCCCGGCGCAACGAATACGACCTCCCACTTGCGCGTGGACAGCAGGTTGCCAATGACAAGGTGATGCTGGTACCGCTCGAGCGAGTACTTTGCCTTGTGCACGAGGATGGCCGGGTCCGTCTCGAGCTTGAAGCTGACGACCATGCCCTGCGGCGCCCAGCCGTCGACGAGGTTCTGGAGGAACTTGGGCACAGGGTCGAGGTCAACTATCAGGCGCTTGGAGCGGGGGACCTTGGGGGAAGAGTCGAAGTTGTCGAAAGTCTCTTCGTCTTCTGGGTTGGCGCCGTTGCCGTTGCCCTTGACGGGGGCTGCTGCGGCACCTGAGCCGAATGAGTCTGTGGCATTGGTGGACTGGATCTTATGCTCGGCCATGCGGCCCTGGGGAAGGAAGAAATCCGAGACAGCGGCGGCGAGGTAGAGCAGTGCCGAGGGGCCCAGGGGTCTCAGCAGCCCGGCGATTGCGCGCAGCTCGAAGAGGTAGTCGGTGATTGTCGTGAACGGCAGCATCAGCAGCATGTTGTTGCGCTTCACGGCCGTATATTTGCGCAGCACGGCGCGCATGCGCTCCTGGTGGTCCGGGTTCGCGACGACGGTGCCGTCGTCGCCCTCGGCCAAAAAGTCGAGGAAGCAGTCGGTGGCGTGGGAGTAGTGGCGCGAATAGGGCTGCAGGGAGAATTGGCGGTGCAGGAATATGACGGCGTAGCCAGCCTCGAGGAAGTACTCGGCCGAGGTGGCGCCGCGGGTTCCTGCGGAGAAGTTGTCGATGAAGCGGACCGTCTGCTTCTCGAGCGGCACGGTCGTGCCGCCCGAGGTGACGAGGACGATGCGCCGCGAGGAGGCTGCGTGGTGGTCTATAAAGGAGCGGGCGGCGGAGACGTGGGACTCGAGGTTCTTAGGGGGCGGTTGCGAGGAGAAGTAGGCATCTTCTTGGCGCTCTGCGGTTTCCGTTGGAACTGACATTTTGGCCCAGTTTAAGAAAGAACACTTGGTGGTGAGCGTTTGTCGGGGAGGTGTTCTTCTTTGTATAGGAAAGTGAGTGGTGGTGGTGATGTATAGCTGGTATCAATGCCAGGGAGGATGGATTGAGAAGGGTTGTATCAATAGGATCTAGAAGCTTGTTAGCAAACTTATACGCAGACATGAAATGTTGAACGTGTCTCCGATGCCCATGCGACGCTTCTTCATCGTTTAGAAAGTAAGTCGTGGAAGACGTATAAGCAGCGTGGCTCCATCACCTCACTCGGCACAGCCTCCACCAGACCTCGGTGCAACCTTTTATATGACGTGGCTTACATGTCACTCACCTTGGTTTATTGAGGTCTATGAGAGCTCAAAGCCTGCCAAATTGACAATGTATGCGGTGCAAGTGCTTTTGAAGTATCTCCGTCAGCCCACAAAGGAATAAGCGAGCCGATCAAAGGGAGATAGGTCGAGAGGCAAGAGGGACGCAGCGAGGGTTTTAAACCGTCGTTTCCAGCGCCGGTTCGGTTCCTCCGCACGGGCCGAAAGGGGCCCGTGCACCACCGACCCGCACCTCCGGGATGGAATCTGCTGCGGATTTCTGGGAACGTATTTGCTTCGGGGCTTCGCGACGACGTCCCGTCGGCGACCGCATCGCTATGCCCGCGGTACACACATTTCTTACGCAATTCTCCATCTATACTGTTGCACCCGGCACCGATATCCGGTCATCAGATCCAGCGCGCCAGTTTCCAAAAACCAGTGTAACAAGGCAGACAATGGGTGATGCATTATTACAATTGTCTAATTTCTAACTTTGAGGGAATGCTCACAATCTTGGGTCTACGCACAACATCAATACTGTCTATGTACAGTCTTTGATAAAACCTGATTCAACATGTGATAACCATGGTGGCTGCGATTTTCTTTTCTTTTTTATAGCTTTTCTTTGAATAATCCCCAAATGTTCTTGCCCACGCAGACAAACTTTGCAGCCATCAGCGCCACGAGGGCCAGGACGTATATAAGACCGGTAAAGATGATGAGGCCCCAGTACCTCCCGCCTGTCGCCGTCACAATCTCACCGCCAATGGGAATACCGATGAGACAGGCGATCGACACAACGGTGTACGTCGTCGAGTAGTACCGCCCATAGTGCTGCGTCTTGCACAATCTGCCTACGCACACGGGGCTGATGCTGATGTTGTTCCCGCTCGCGAACCCAAAAAGCACCGCAAACACCACGACACCCGCCGTCGTCGAGCCCGCAGGCAGCCAGATGCCCAGGCACGCGATGACGGATAGCACGATGGCGGCCATGTTGCTGTTGAACGGACCCGCCTTGTCGGCCCACCAGCCGGGCAGCGCCCTACCGAGGACGCTTCCTGCATTCAGGATGGGCAAGATGGAGAACGCAAACGACTCGCCGAACCCCTCGCTGAGCATGTAACTCGAGATGTACGTCAGCGGGATGAAGAGCGCAAACTCCATGAGGAAGATGCCCGCCGTCGTGAGGCTGAAGGCGGCGCTGCGGAAGATGCGGGGGTCCGGGTGGGGGCTTGCATTGCGCGCGGGCGGCAGGCGCGAGCGGATGAGGAAGTTGGAGGCGCCGCAGAGGAGCAGGCAGATGAAGCCTACGGCGCGGATGGTCCAGCCCCAGCCGATGCGCGGGAAGAGGGACTGCATCATGAGCGGGAAGACGATGCCGCCGATGGAGCCGCCCGTGGACGCCATGCCCGTCGCGAAACCGCGGCGGCGTTTGAACCAGTGGCCGACGGCGGCGATGGAGGGGGTGAAGACGAGGGAGCTGCCGAGGCCGCAGAGAATGCCAAAGGCCAGCATGAAGTGCCAGTATACTGGAGGGTCGTTAGTCGTCTCGATGGTGAGGTAAACGTGAGGCGGAGATGACTTACATGTGCAGATGCTCAGCAGCATCACGCCGATCACGAGACAAACCGTCCCGGACAAGACAAGCCAGCGCGGACCATACTGGTCGAACACCGGGCCGATGTAGATCCCCCCAAAGAAGCACAGGAAGGTATACACCGAGAAGATCCAACCGATGGTCCCCTCGCTATACTCCTCGAGCTGATGCGTCGCGACGTACGTCTGGAAGATGGCCAAGCTGTTCATGATACCCAGCGCCGAGAACAGCGCCAGCCACGAACCGAGCACGACGGACCACGCGCGGAGCCCGCCCTCGGGGTACGTCTCCTCTTCGGCGACCGTGGAGGCGGCGGTGTTGGTGCGGCCGAAATAGTCGCCTTGTTCTTTGCCGTAGCTCTGCTGCTGGCGGTGGTCCTGCCCGTAGGCGTTGCCGCCGGCGCTGGCGATGGCGTTGGACACAGAGGGGATCAGGTCGTTGCCCACGGCGGCGGCGGCGCCGTCGTGGGCCGCGCTCTCGGTCTTGCTCGGGAGGGGGAAGTCATAGTTGCTGTAGTCGGGTTCCGGGGCGAGGTAGCCACTCGTGCGCGGCGTGTTCTTTTCCGGGTCCATGAGGGCAATGGAAGACAAGTGAGGGCGGGAATTCCTATTAATGTCTCGTGCTGTGTCTGTCTTGGGAATTTCTGCTCCTTCCTCTCAGAAACCCGTCCGTCTTTTGTTTCCACTGTCCTGAGGAGATTTTCCTCTTTCTGTCCGTATATGCTCTGTTTGGATCCCTTCCTCTCTCACTTGACTGCCTCTTTCTCACCCTTCTCTTGAAAACCTGCTTCCTCAAAACCAGGGAGCGCACAGCGTCGTTAGAACAACGCTACTGTAGCCGTGGTGGGAATAGTCTGTCTCTTAAAACAGGATCAAGGTTCGGGGTGGGTGTCGACTGATACAAACATCCAAGAAGTCCCTCTCACGGCCCGTTGCGAAGCGGCTGTACGAACCTACTTGTAGTTTTCGGTTCCTCTAGCTCTTTACCTAGTCGCTCTCGGCTAGGATAGACTGGTCATAAAGGAGTTAAGAAGGGGGGGGGGGGGTGCAGTTGCGTTGGACGACAAGGTGTGATGGGATAGGTGAATCTGATGCAATTATCCAGTCATTCATTCAATCATTACTACGCAACCATCCGAAAGAGAGACGAACGACATGCAACATAAGCGAGGGAGGGCGAGAGAAAAGAGCTAGCAAGTAGGCAAAGGGAAGGGAGGAGGAGAAAACTTTTCCGTACCCCGGGTTGCGTTGTATCGGGCCCCGACACTCGGAAGTAGACGGCCGACAACCGTTGTGTGAATAAGGTAGGTTCCAGCTCCTTCGCTAGCCGGGGTCGGGCTGGTCTGGGTTTGGCTTCGACCTTCGGCTCGCACTTCCTCATGAGCTCGATGTGGGCCAGCACCGGTTGATTGCATCTCCGCACACTTTCCATGTCGAGGTGCATGAAAGGCATCTTTATGTGCCTCTCTCATCCGGTTTACCTGATGTAGTTAAGGCGATTGGCACGATTGACAGCCATGGCGGGAATAGACAGGACGTTGTCGTGCCTTCTTGGCGTGTGTTGAGTGGTTGACATCAAAATGTCAGTCTAGGGCGCGGCTCAAGACCGGGTTTGATGTGGATGAGTTGGAGACAAGTCAGACTGCGATCGAACGGACCAATGGTGTATTTCAATTAGTCGTAGAATTGCCTAGGACCATTTTCCAGCCAACCCCCCGACTTCGCCAAACGCAACCCACTTTCCCCCTTCCCCACTACCACCGACCGGCCGCCGCCGCCGGAGGAAACCACGAGCGCATCAAGGACCAGCACATGCCCGACGCAGGACAAACTCTCACCTCCTGTCACCTGCCTGCGAAGCCGCATACTGCACGAATGCCCGACGGTAACGGTCGCAGACACGAAACCGGGGAGAAAGCTCCATGGCTCCACGAGTAAGGAAATTTACCGTATGCAATCGATGCGGCAGTATCGTGACCCCTTGACTGCATTTTCCCACACATAAACACAATGCCACTACACGCCATCACGCGCGCAACCTCGACGATGCCATCATGACCACCATGACCAGTTGTGCCGCTTGGCCTTACCTCTCCGTCATTTTCGACCGTCAATGTGGCCACCGACGTACTTGGCGATCGAGACGAGGTGACGCTCCCATTACTGCACATCCCTTCTTGAACCAGCCGCTGTCAACGGTTAGACATTAAAGTGTTGACTCATCTACAAAGCGCAGTGACGTCCGGAACCAAACAAGCAGGCCCGCATAAGACGGGGGAACCCACGACAACATGGGAGGATGACGCCGTCCGTAATTCGGCGCTCGGCCGGTAGCGGAACGACGAGGTCGGCCTCTTCCATGTCATCGCTTCCCTTAGCCATACCCTCCCTTGTCATCCCCCCACCTACCGCAGAGCGCCGACCGTTTCCTGTCACTTATGCCGGCTCCGGCCGCTCGACGCACCAGCCGCAGTCAGCCAGCGGGCCCCGCACTTTGTTCAGCCCGCCGGCCACCAGCCACAGATTACATAACCCAGAGCTTGGGACCGATCCCGATCTCACCCGCCGGTCCGTGCTCTGATTGCCTTACCTAAAACATCATCTCGACAATCTTGAACAGCGTCACGGTGGTACCTACGGGCGATGTGAACTCCCTGCCCCAGTACCGGTACCGTCTCCACCATTGCACCACCGACCATAAGCGCGGCCCGGGGAATACCCCTGCCGCCCGTCCGAATCGACCAGATGTGGAAGTCGACAAAGACTCAGAAACCCATAGGCGAAAGCCAAACCCTCCGCACAAACAGCCCCCTCCGTCACCACGTCACCTCGTGCTGCCGCCGTGCCACACATGCCATGCCGTGCCCATGCCCTACCTAACTCACCGGTACACTCTGCTGCTTCACCGGACAAGCCCTTGTCCCCTCGGGTTGGCCGCGTTCCCCTCTGAGCAGTTGTGTCGTAGCCAGGTGGAGGAGGGCGAGGGAGCCAGCCCTGCCGTCGACGTCCAGCATGCATGGGTTGAGACAGAAAACTCGCCAAGCTCCCTACGCTACGCTAAACCCATGACGGAGATTCCGCCCCTCTCCCCTCCTACTACCTCTTTGGGCCTAAAACCTTTATAGCGCCGCGCGTCGATTAATCCCATCGTGAGGATACATCTCCGACAGAGTGCATCGGACTTGGCCCCACACCGCACAAACTGCATGCGCTTGCAGTACCCGTCATCGTGAAATTTAGAGGGCAAATTAACGCCCAAACTGGGTGAGAATACCTCGGCGGAACATCACCCAAATTTTTCCCAAATCGACCTCTTCCCTCTTACGGTGTGCTGAAGCGAAAACCCCTTGTCGCCCGTTCTCCCAGCTTCCTTGGCACGCCGACATTAATTCGGAACCGACTCATCGGCCGACACTCCGACGTTCCGCTCTGGCAGCCAGAGACCGTTGGAAAACGCTGGGCCACCACCAAGAGCCCTCCCAAACCTGCCCCCCCTTTCGTGCCAAACAAGCCAAGCAACCCGACCTACAGCACCCTGCAGTTCAGAGACTGACCCGGCGGTCGGCAGCCCGGTTACAGCGCTACAGCGCTACAGCGCTGCGCTCATGCTGCCTTGCTTCCATTGACGGTCTGCTTCTTCCAGCCGGGAGAAAATGGGGGCGGGCGGAGGGAATGGCTGCCCGTTCTGTGTGTGCGCATGAGCCGGCTGGGAAAAGAGCTGATCCCCTCAAGTGAGTGACGACGGCCGGACCCCGTCCACGCCCACCCACCCAATCGTTTGTTTTTTATTGCTTTCGCAACGGGCCAATTGCCACCTGGGCAGGAGAGATAGAGAGGGAGAGAGAGTTCTGTGATTATCGTTCACATCACCCCCCATCAGGGCTTTCTTCGTTTTCGCGACTGGATCTTTTAATTGCTGGCCCGGTCCGGGGAGGGTTGGGCCGTCTCGGGTTAGCCAGAACCTGTCGTTCACCTTTTTGTCCAGATCTATCGAGAAGATGTCATCTCGTCGCATTGCGTTGCGGCCAGGTGAAGATCCCTGGCCGCGGGCAGACGAGAAACGCCTTCTCTCCGCCCCTCACGTGGAAACCTCTCCAAAAAAAACGTTTATAAAAAATGGCTTCATCTGCTTGGCTTTTCCTCATGGAAAAGGAATTGCACACCTCGGCCCGAGCCCGCGCCGACATCGTGCCGCGCCGCCCATCGGACACGCTCTCCGTAGGGCTGTGCATGTTGCTAGCTGTCTTTTTTACCTTGTTGTCTTTTCTTCCTCCCTCGGGGACGTTTCGCCCACCCGGCCCTGCCCTGTACATTCCGACCGTTGGCCAAACTTGTTCCTTCACGGGCCCTGGTTTAGCGCATGGGCATGGACCACCACGAAACCACTCTCTGCTCACAGCTCGTGTGCCCGTCGCCATGTTGTGCCGCGTCTTTTGCACCGCTGTGTACCTGTGCGCGCCCTCATGAAAGGGGAAAACCGTCTTGACTGCGCATCTCCGTGGCTGCCGCTTCTCGAAGCGCCGTCACTAAAGTTGGGGGTTCCCAACCAATGCGGGAAAGGCGTGGTGGAAGAAGTGTGACCAAATCAGCGCGCAATGACGGCCGCCTTCGGGGCTACCTCCGGTCAGTTATCGGTGGTTGACGCCCTCCCCCCTCCTCCCTTCCGAGGGGCTGAGGGCCTGTCAGATGGGACGACACGGGAGGAGCTAGTGAGAGACCAGCCTGGTCTTCCCCCGTCCACTTCTGCAATCTCCCCGTTGCTTGTGTTCGCGATAAAGGTTCAATTTTTGAGCTTGTCACCAAAAGTATGCTGTTTCGGTGTGCCATCTGTCATCGTGTCCACCTCTGTGCTCGCAAGAGACCTAAACGTCTCTTGGTCTTTTGCCGCCAGCCTCGCTTGGCTGCCTAGATATCACATAACAATACCCCAACTTGGCGGTTGTAAACCACGATTGTTGCTTTTCCGTCGTCCCACGTGACTTCAGTCGCGAGAACAGACACCAAACCTTTCGCCAACAACTTTGTTCGCCTCCGCCCCTCCCGCCCCCCCCTTTTTTTTTTGTTGAGCTTCGTTCGAGGTCCGCCGGCTGGTGTCGCCTTCAGCGCGAACCATTCGAGCCCCCCATATACCCTGTTGAACCGAAGCCTCGTACTGTTAGTCACCGGACCGCGTGTGCAAAGGACCTGGCCAAATGTTGCTCGTTGAAAAGTGACAAATTCCGCCTTCGGCGAGCCGATACCGAAATCAGAAGAAACCCATGCCCATCGCGTCCCAGTGTTTTCCAAAGCCCGCCGCCTGCTTTCACCGTCCTGGTCTGTACGCCTGGAGCTTTCCGATCAACCGGTCGCGACCTCGTCGGGTCTTCAGACTGACCGACTGTGCCCTTTCGTGAACTTCATTCACTCATTATCCACCCATTGCTGTCATACAAGGATGCACCGATTCCGCAGGGGCGGCACGGTTGCATCAGTTCGGTCTCGTCATGTCATCGTTAAGCAGCTGCCTGAGGAAGGCCCCTGGCTCAGGGGGTCGTTCGCCGTCCGTCTCTGCGTCCCCTTCGGGCAATTCTTCCAGCTTCACTGTTTCAGCAGAGCCGGATCGACCGCCCTCACGAGAGGTGAAGAGGTCTATTTGATGTCTTATCGTGTCCAGGAAAGCAGTCCGAGCTGAGGCGTCGAGTTTGGAAACGGCCGATTTTCTGATGCTTTGCTGTTAGTCAAAAACGCAGAGGGGGAAGCCCTCGGGCTGGATCAATATTACAGTAATTCGAGTAGGGAGGGGATGTCGTCCAGGGGCATGTTTGAGGAGTGCGTGCCGGCACCCGATGCCCCTGGAGTCGCTCCCTGGTCCGACTGGACAGAGGCCAGTTGCATCAACAAGTCGGCGTTCTTGATGAACTTGATGAGATCTTCGAGGTCTGTTTCTACGTTGGTGGTGCGCATACGGCGGATGATTTCGATGGACTCGGCCTCGGAGCGCATGGACAGCAGGCGGAAGAGTTCTTCAAAGAGGGCGACGCGGCGTTGCAGCTCCTCGTGCTTGGTCTTGAGGGCAGCAAAGCGGGTGACGTCTGGGCCGGCATCGTACTCGCACCTGGTACGACCCATGCCGGCACACAGGGAGCACACGGGACGCATGCCATCACATTTCGATTTCCGCCGGCGACAGGATGTGCAGGCAATCTTGGTCTGGGGACGGCGTCTAGGTGCACTGGATGTGGTACCGGTGGCGGATTGCGGGGTCGACTCCCGCTCCGAGGAGGCGCTGCTGGCTGCTGTTGGGCCTGCGGGTAGAATCTCTCGCTGGGGTTTCATCGTGACCATGAGCGAAGGAAGACCACAGGCAGGCCTGGTGGGCAACCAGGTTCGCCAAGGACTGGTGATAGTAGGCGTAGACGTGTAGTAGCTGGGACGGCGTGGTCTGCGCGCTCGCCGGCAGCGATTGGAACGGGCGCGCGGGTGGACGAATCGAGAGAGAGAAAGGGCAGAACCAGAGCCGGAGCCAGAGCGGGCCTCAACCGCAAGAGCAGATCCGCCCGCCGCTTCGCTTCGAATGTCTCGATTGTCTGGTATGGAGCGCGTCATACTGCCGACCCGCCGGCCATTCTGACGATTTGGGTGTTGGGTGTTGCTGCCGAAATTGTCGTGTCGTGTCGGGGGGGTTTTTTTTTTTTTGACGACTTTGGTTCTTTGTGAACGTTGAATGCTACCTCATGTCCTTGTCGCAGATGGAAATGTCTGGAGTCCGTGAGGTAAGGGTATGACGAAATGGACAAGGCGGTGGTGGCCCTCTTGGTCAACTCCTGTGCTCAGGTGCAGTCGCTGCTGAAAAACAGAGGTGCTGTTGGGCTGGTGCTGGGGCTGTTGCTGGCGCTGGCTGGGACCCTCATGTTGTTCCGGCGCCGGTGTAGGTACTGCTTTCCTAGCGGGACCTCCGACGAGAATAAGAAATACGGGAGAATAATAATAATAATAATAATAAAAGGCACACGATTAAAAAATAATAAGAAGAAAGTAAAATCAGCACAGATTAGGACGTTAACTTTAGCCTTGTAAAGTTGTCCAAAACCCATGGGCCCGTCTGGCCACGGCTAGGCCCGGCCATCAGCTGGGAAGAGCAGCTGTGCGATCTGTTCGTCAAGGATGTCGCAGGAAGACCAGACACCGCTATGCCTATCGAGAGTTTGCTGGGGCATCGGACCCCAGCTGTCGGTTCCTGTCAGCAGTCTCAGGATTGGACGCTCGCGACCGTCTGTCGTGTTCCCTTGTGGCCGCTGAAACCCGACGAGATGCACGCGGGGAAGAGGGGCGTGATAGGGTGCGCTCATTTCCCGGCAGGTGGCTTTCCTGAAGAAGAGAATGAGAAACGACAAGAAAAGACGGGAGGGGGGGGGGGGGGGGCGCATGGAAACGACGACAACGGTTCTGCTCCTGATAAAACACTAATAACAATAATGACAACATGGCATGATTTCGCCCGGCTGTCGAGCACCAACGGAGAGAGGCAAGCAAGCGCAAGCAAGTACTGTACTTGTATGCAGCAGTATGGATGCCCTGCTGAACCATGGGTGGATGCGCTGTTGCCGGCGCCCCCCGTTGCCCAGAGGTGCAGCGCCGTCCCCCATGGCCATCCGTTGGCTGGAGATGCACCCGTCGCAGTTAAGCCAATTACAGGCCTGGTTTGCGACGCCTCATCGTGGCTGCCCCGTGCTCGGCATAGCTCAACCCGCCGACATTGTCTGTGAATGGCCAATGGAAAAGTAGAACCTGCTCCCACAAAGACAAATCAGCCAAAAAGAACCATCTCGGAAAGAATCAACAAAGGAGGACCTCTTGAATAGATCCGTGGCGGCGAAGACGCTGTTCGACACAGCTGGCGATGAGGGTGTCAAGGAGGAGGGAAGCCACGGGAAGGAGAGGAGGAGGAAGGGGGAATGAAACAAAACAAACCTCGGTGCAAATCAAATTTGGTCCTAGACGACGGGCACCATTCCCTCTTTCAGCCAGTGTTATCGGCATGAGCACGCCTTTGGCAGAGACGAACCGTCTCCAAGCCGAACTTGTAGCATCGGTTTTTGTGCTTTTCGATGCCCATACACCCCGCCCAGCAGGCTCGGAGCCGATGCGGCACCGTGGTCGTATGTGTACGTGTGCTGCGCCTGCCTAGTAGCGGACATCAACCCGAGGCCGTGATCCTTCTCTTCCTAGCCTAATGCGTGCGCAATATCATACAGATGAGCGCGGCTTCGCAGAGGCGTCGTGCCCTGCAACGCTGACAGTGCTAGCAGTCCTGGCAATATATCCCTGGATCATTTCGCAGTCGCAGCTGCCATGCTGGAGAATCTGGTTCTTCAGGGTAAGCACCTCGTTCTTGAGTGCCGTCACACAGGCGTCTAGGTACATGCGCTCCTGTGTGACTTGTTTTTCCTTGTTGGCCAGATCGATCTCGTATTGCTTCGTCTTCTCACGGCAACGCTTGGCAGCCGCTCGATTCTTGACGCGATATGTCTTCTTCCTGTCCCGCCCTGGCGGTGCCAGCGATGCGTCGCTGTCTTCGCCCTCGTCGTCCTCGTCTGCTCCTTCCCCGTTCTCGTCATACGACAAGGAGTTGGCGGGCGAGGGTTCGCTGCCGGCTCCGACTCGCGCCTTCTTGGAGCGGTGCTGGGCCGTCGGCAAGAGACGCGGTTCCGCTGGTTTTCTGCCAGGCTTGGTTGGTTTCTTCTTCGTTGTGGTAGCTCTGTGTTCTGGCTCTGGTGGGGTTTGATGGTCAAGAGGAAGTTGCCAGGCCGGGGCCGTGATAAGGGGGAGCAGGCTGGGGTTGGCCACTGATGCGGTGGGCTGAAGATGGCAGACTGCGGCGGCTGAATGTGCTGCTGCTGCTGGTGGTGGTACGGAGACCAGTTCTCAGGCTGCGACGCCCAGCTGGCAGTTGGATAATCTGCAGCCGATCTGGTCGCCTCGAACGACGGATGACTCTGTTGTTCTGCCTCCCATTGCATGGAGCTCATTGATCCTGCAGAGTTGCCCGGGGAGAACACTGGCTCAGATATTTGGTAGTCCCACCTAGGCCACTGCTGACAGAGATGATATTCGTTGGTAGGCGACAAGAAGGGCGTCTGCTCTGGCGGTGTGGCATAAAGAGACAGGGGCATGTGCCGTACCTCAGCCATCGGGCCTGAGCCGGGATAACCTGACTGAGCCATTTGGTTTCTGGTCGAGCATGTTAGCTGATTTGCGTTCTGAGACCGGACAATGGCCGTGGGTGAAAGCCATACCAGTCGGGGGTGGATACCTTCAGGCTAAGGCTTTTTTTATTTTATAGTGGTAGCGAGATCGTGACGGGGACAGAAAAGTTAAAATCGCAGTGTTCGCAGTAGCAATCGTGGCTTCCTACCGGAAATATCTGACTAGCGAGAGGGTAGGTAGATGGGATGGGGATGAATGCGAGGATGTGGATGAGAGGGAAGACGCTCTGTGTTGAAGGCCAGGAATCAGGTCCAATTGCTGGTGCGCGGATACAAGTCCGAGGTTAATAAGAAGACATTGCTAGCAAAGGAAGCAGGGGTCGAGAAATGATGACGAAGAACGGGGGCAAGGGCATATTTGACTGGGCCCTGTTGGTTGTCCAGGAGGATTGGGAGCATGCGAGATGGGGGTGATATTCGCTTGGAAGTAACAAGGGACGATGGGGAAAATGATGGATTGCTGCCCGCCCAAGGCGTGATCTCAGCATAGGGGCGACTTTGCCAGATGTTTCGGATGGGAAATAGAAGACTCGTATACCGTGCTACGCAAGGCATGCGCGATGCGGCAGTGGATCTTTCGACAGGACGGGCGAGGCTCGGTTGCTGTTATGGCTGGCGAGCCATGGTCTGGACCTTGACGGCGAAGGTATATGCACGTGGTTGAGAGCCGGGGAGGGGCTGTACCCGTCCCAAGACGCGACAAGGTATCTTGCTTCCAGAGGGGTGGGTGTTCAAGGAGAATGAATAAAACGATAAGGCGACAGGGCAAGGGGAAAGAAGATCAAGCAAGGAGTGCAAAGAGCGAGGGGACAGAAGGAGCCTGGTCGTCAGAGAGACGGTACCGGGCTGGAGGCAGAGGAGCCTGCAATCAAAGATGGCCTAGAAGCAGAGCTGACAAGAAACAGGGACGTCGGGGGCACAGATGGCGTTGGGAATGCCATTCGGCTGGGTGGTCGCAAGGTTCAGGTACCGCGGCTGTACCTCATGCAGATGTTCGGGGTAGCAGGGAGAGGTGAAATAATTATTCAAAAGACTGAGAAGAGTCTGGATGTTAATCTGTGCTGTGCGGTCCCCTGATAGGTGGTTGGTGAAGTTTCCAGACAAGGACGTTTATCAATCGGCCAGTGGCTGATGCGTGACATCTCGGAACGCATTCCGGGGGTGTCCCGGCTCTTCTGATTGGCCGCGGATATGACTCCGGCAATGCTGCTTGCACGAATGGGCTTGAAGAAAAGCTGAGCAACTCGGACTCGGTCGGCAACCTGTTTCTCTTTCTCTCCCCGGCCTCCCGCCCTCTGCAACGACTGGGAACCGTACTGTCTCTCCCATGTCTCCTTTGCTCCCCTCCCCTCTGGACCTGCGACCTGCTTTCGCCGCAAGGTAGTGACTTTTTTTTCTCTTACTTTTTGATTTCATATTCCACTTCTTCCTTGCCTACAGATTATTGTAGATGCAGATACGGGTAGGAGGGACATCTTTTCTCCATTGACATTGAACACGAGTGATCACGCATGGCATGCCCAACCAGCATGTGCATGCCTTGACACCCATCAAGATGAGGAGGGAGCGGAGGTAAGGGACTCGAGTACAGCTAATCCGCTGGGGGAAGGGGAGCGGATGAGAAGATGGAATACTAGGTAGCCTGACATCCCCAACCAAGGTAGCACAAGCGAACGATGTACGATGTACGCAGTGAGTAGGGGGGAGTAGCATTGGGAAGCCCGGGGATTCATCCCAAAAGCGTGCCCCTTCCAGCTATCGCCTGCATGTAGCTGGATGCAAGTACTGCAAGTACCTCTAAAGTAAGTGCTCACGTCAAATCCCCTACGTGCCTACCTAGATGCAATGTACCTGGACCCCTACCTCGGTGTAGTACTCCTTGGCCGTTGTTTGGACACCTGCCACAACAGTGCCTAGGCTATCCCTGGAGGCCATGAGGCCATGCTCTTAGGTGGCGGCATCCGTCGACGCTCTCCCGAGATACACACAGACACTTCCGCACATACTCAGTACGCACTCTTACACCCCCCTCCCCGCACACACTCTTTGCATCCTTGCCTGCAGAAACCCGGACCGACCACCGGCGCCTTGTGTATGGACAATTGTCGCCTGGCTTACCCGCAGCCTCTTGAAGAGTTGTGGTGCAATGCCAAATGCATCAAGAATTGCTTTTCCCTCACAGAAATCTGACCTCTGTCTCGCCTGTCTTTCTTGGCTCCAGTCTGCCGATTCCAAGAAAACAAGCCAGCGGCGACGCCTTCAGTCATCATCCTCTGTCCTCTAATTCCGAGAAGCCCGGCTGCCCGCCCCTTTTTTGTGCTTCGGAATCCAGTCTTCCCCTACTTCACAGGTTTCTCCTTGTTCTAGCAGCTGCAGACCTTTTGATTACGGCACATGCCCCAGGCATTGGCCACTTCCCTACGGCGTATCTCATACATCGACACAGATGGAGTTGTGCAACTATCTCCATGATCAAAACGGCCTTTTCAACGCCGGCAAAGTACAGGTATCCAATGTATTCAGCAGCTCCAAGCATTCAGCAGTGTTCTCGAAATATATGCAAGACGAAGCCGCCCGCCGGTTGACTTCATGTGCATCACTCCGCGCCCTTCAGCTGTCAGGCCAGCGCCTCTGCGTATCCTGGCCTCGTCGCTTCCGACATTGAATGCCTTTGCTTTACTAGCTTCACCAGGCCCATGAAGTCGCTCACTAATGCACATCAAAAGAAATCCCCGCCTCAAATCACGCCAGATGCTGGGGTGTGGGCGCCTGTGGCCTCTTCCGTGGGCCTCATCCATTGAGGCCACAGGGGCCAATAATAATACTAATAAATGAAATGATACAAAGAATAAAAATAACAGTACAGAGTATGGACGGACGGCTCCTATCATGACCCCATGATGACGATCTGCGTCAGCCTGCATCCGCAGCGACCGTGGATTAGCAATTCACAGACTCAGGTCTCCCCCTAACTGTTATACAATCAACCCCCACTCCTGTGCCGCGCCCCGAATCCCTTACTCTTGCTTGCACCGTTCCTGCCCTTGGGCAGCAACTACCTGCGGCTACCATGCTGCGTCTCACTCTCAGGCAGATGACCGGCGTCCTACTGCAGCAACTATGTCCAAGCCTGGATGTCGGCTCTAGCATACGCGGAGCTCATGTGGAAAGACTAAGACAACTGGCCGATGTCATGATTTGCCCATTCTCGCGCACGCAAGAAGGATGATTGACCCCGTTTTGTAATCTTGTGTCGGTGATCTTTGGATGAATGGTGATGAGAGCGTACGGGGAAAGAAGAAACTCTCGTCGCAAACCCGAGTAGTCTCTGTGGGGTTACACGACGCGTCAACGGCAAGCCACGGCGTATCAAAGGGGCACACCAGACAACCGACACGACAGGCGGCCAACCAAACATCCCAAAGCACTGTCGGCCCTACAGGCCAACCGTCGCTTCCCGTAACTTGAGGGTCGCCTTGGCCGTAAAGTGGTCTACCTAGCAATGGCGCGTTCCAGCAAATCAAAAGCCATCATCGGCCTCGGAGTCGTCTCCGTTAACCCACTACCAACCATCTACAATAGCCCTAGCTCCAGGCTTCAGGGACCCTAGGTGTTACCAGAGAAGGAGTTACACTGACCTTACATCATGCCAGGGTTGCGAGACCTGGTGTTCAGATTTTTGTCTTTTGGCTTGATTTGCAGCACAGTAGTTGGAATTCGATGCGCCTCTAGCAGCTGCCTGACCAGCTCCCCTCCCACCTCCTCCCGGAGCGGTCTTCTGACCATCCAGAGGAGCTTGAATACCTAAGACAGCGGGGGAGGTGTAGAGGCTTTCTCTTGCTCAGCTGAAGTCTCCACCTTGGTCTAGAGCACTCAACAATATTTCTAGCTTCGTGTTTGTGGTGATCTGATATGTAGCTTACTTGCTGCGGAAACAACCGTAGAGCAGATTTCGATCGCCCCCTCGAGAAAGGGCATTGCACCGGGACTTAATTTTACAGTATGACAACAATATCGATCGATCCCCATGCCAAACTCGGATCTGCAGGCACTTGGATTCGCGACGCCACCAGTGCGATCCCCATGAGCTGAGCCGTTCTGATCAGCCACCCGAGAGCTTTCTTGCTATTGAAACCGTTCCGACGTGGCCTTCGGGTCGAGGCGTTGAGCACGCAGCCACCCAACAGCCACCCAACAGAGTTTCTTCTTCTAGTGCGAGCGGTCCGACAGCTCAACTCCCACCCAAGACATAGAACGATCCGGACCCTGGATGATCGGGACGGCAGGCAAAACATTGTCCAACTTTATCTCGGCCAAGCTTACCAATAACTTACAAGACAGAACGAAATCCCGTGCGACGAGCGGGGGTGTGTGTGTCCGGTAGAAACCAGGGTTCAGAGGATCGCAAGCGCGAGGTCTGTGGGACTGATATCTTGCCTTACCTCCCCCACCCTTTCCTCCTCTTCGCTATCATGGACTGACGATAAGCTTACCTGCATAGTGCAGCTTTTGACCGTGTCAAGAGCTCATGCCCAGCTGCGAAGTTGCACCCTTGGCATGTGCTTCAAGGCCCGTTGGTGCGGTTCATATGTCTACCCCAACGCTCTCAAACATTATACCTCTGGGCTGGCTTCGGGCGGGTCAATCGGCCGTTCCAAGGGGGCTTTGCCCAGGTCTCGGTGTTTAGCCAGTCTTTGCTTTTTTCCTCTGCCTGAGGTAAAGTGGAGGAGGGGTCGTGCGGACAAGTAAGAATACCTCGAGATACAAACTCACCTTAGGCACCTCCCATAATTATCAGTGGTGGACGCGCTGTGCTCGTTACAGCTTACAGTATGGGGAAGCGTCCAACCCCCCTTTCTCGGAAACCGCCTCTCTTGCGTCCCGGGCCATGCTTACTCATCCAGTGACCTAATCAAAACATCGACGTCCCGTCATGTTTGACCCGTTAGTTGTTTTGACCACCGGCGCCTGTTCCGGACCGCAAGACAACTCTTGTCTTGGTCCTGGCTCAAGGCCAATGTTCCCTCAGACCCCACGCACCGCCAACCATCGGAACAACACATGCAGAGGAAGATTTCAAGTCTGACACCATTGCTCGCATTCTTGCTTTCTGCAACGGGGGTTGATCTTTCTGCTGCACCTCGTGTCTGCTTAGATTGACGGAGGCCTTTGTTCACGCTCATCGCATCACAGGAACGCAACATTGCCTTCTCAGATACGGGCCGAGGCCAAAGATACCAGGATATTCTTCTTTATTTGTATCACTCTTCTTTCACTTACTCTTTCCTCCTGTCATTTCGCCCCGTCTTTCCCCCTCCTCTGGTCATTGACTTAGACCAGGGGCTTCCAGCTAATACTGGTTATTGGACCTTTGCTGGCGATGATGCGTTTCTGATAGTTGTTTTTCAGTCAGCCATCTCTACCTCCCTTATTTCCAAGGGAAAACTATCCTGTACCTATTTTGTCAAAGGTAGTAACTCATTCAGTCGCCCATTCACCCCAGGTTCTCTCCGAAGCTCGCTCTATACAAGCCAGCAAAAGTGATATTGTCTACGACCCCTCCTTACGGACCAACTTGAATCATGTCAAACACAGTGAAGCTCAGGCCACTGTTGCCGCTCGCCGCCAGCGGCCCGCCGGCGGCCTCCAACATCACCACGGCGCCAAAGAGGAAGAGACCGCAAGTGTCGGCAGCCTGCAATGGTACGCTATTCCCTATCTAAAGCTTAATAAGTCGGGCCTCTGATTTCAAGATCTAGGTTGCCGGAAGAGAAAGGTCAAGGTCAGTATACATACCCGTTTCTCATTCTTGCTGCATTAGCATGCTCGGACACTTGGTCGATGAACGAGCAAGCCCGGCTGAGAACTATGATAGTGCGATGGAGTCCGGCCATCCTGCTACGTCTGCAAGACATCGAATGTGCCATGCGTTTACCCCGTACCTGAGGGCCTATCGCAAAGGCAGGCTCAAAAACAAAAGCTCAGCTCCGTGTCGAGGGCGCACGAGAACAGTCAACGGGTCCTGGAACTGCTCCGAGCGAGTCGAGACGGCGCTTCCCAAGACATTTTGAAGCAACTGCAACACTCGGAGCACCTTGATGAGGCAATCCAGTCGATAGCTGACGCCAGTCTGCTACTTCCAAAAATCAATGACCATAGAGGTAGGTACTCCCACAGTTCGCGGTTGTACATGAGATCTGTGACGTTCTAGTTGTTGACATGATGGCATTCTAGAAGGTTCAGGAGAGCTCCCGTATCAACCGGAGGAATCAAATTACGAGCCGAGAACTCGACCTCTGACAGCAAGGTACGTTGTATCGTGGTAGTTACGAATCTCACCCAATCACACTGACTCCTGACCGACTTAGTTCCGGTGGATCAGCCAAAGACCAGTCAGTCGGTAATTCTGACACAGAACAAGTTCTACCTGTCTCGCGCTGGACAATCGTTTCGCAAGATAATAAGCTGATGACATACCTTGTTGATCTTTTTTGGACTTGGGATGGCACTCTATCTCATCTTGTGGATCGGGAGCTCTTCATTGGTGATTTAAGCGTCGCTGGACCAAACTTCTCTACGGGCCAGCATCGGGGGTTCTGCTCGCCTTTCCTTGTCAACGCGATTCTCGCCGTGGCTTGTGTGCGTCCTTCTGTTATTTCTCCACGCCCTCTACCTTTTACTCTCGCTCTTGATGCTGACCATTGTATCCAACGATTACAGTTACACGCAACGAGAAAACAACCTGACTCTTTCCCAGGGGACATTGTTACACTTGGCCACAGCTTCGCCAGCCATGCCTTCAAGCTTCTTGATTCAGAAAAGTGCGTGAGCTCGTTGACCCTGCTGCAGGGCGCAGCTGTCCTTTGGCTCTTCGCCAGCAACGAAGGCTCTCGAGCGTCCCGCGCGCAGTGCGCGAGCATCAGGGACTTACTCCAACACACCTGGTTGGCACTCGGTCTCGAGACTGGCGGCTCCGCACTCTTCAGATTTTCCGGAAAGGACGACGCTCACGATGTCAGAATCTGGCAGGCAGTTTCCCACATAACGTGGGGATTTTACTGCTTCTTTGCGTACGTGTTCACTCACTCGATCGGTTGATCGGCAAAACATTGCGGCTGACGATGTGTTTTTTCCTTTACAGGAAAATGGCCATGCTATTCTCTCCAGAAATTCTGGTCTCGAGACCGCTCATAATGAAGACCTTTGAAGACCTGGAACCCCAGCAAGGCTCTGGCTCACCAGCTTCGGTCTCCTCCGCCGGCGAAGACAGTGTTACGAACAATGCATCGTACCAGTTGCAGGTATTTAGTGCAAAATGCTCCCTTTGTGAAATTACGGATCAATTCGTGTCCGGGTTCGTGAAGAACGATCAAATCTCGCTTCTAGACAGTGGGCATTGCACAGCGCTTTACAACAAGCTCCTTTGTTGGAAGCTGTCACTTCCAGATCAGCTCATGACCAGCAACAGTGTCTCACCATCCGTTTTGTTGCTCCAGTAAGTCACCTCTTACCCCTGCCATCCGATCCCGAGAAGAAAACTCGACAGAAACTCTAACTGACACTATTCCTTAACCAGAGCAACATACGATTTTGTGGCTCTAAAGCTCCTGTTCAGCTACACGAGTCACGCCGGCACCGACCTCTTTGACGGCCGCAACGCCGCCTCGCTCCAGGTTCTCCATGCGAGCTCCATGATGACGAACCTCTGGATCTACCGCGGCATCTACACCATCAAGCACGAATACTGGGCCGCCGAGTACTGCTCCTTCGTCGCCCTCGCTCTACTCCCCCGCCTAGAAACCGACACCTCGACCCCCGCCATACAAGATATCATCGGCCGCGCGTGCTGCGTCCTCAATGAGATGGCGCGCGCTGGTGTCTCGGGCCGCGCGCAGGAGCTGCTTGCGGGCGTCGAAGAGCGTGCAAGGGCGTTGAAGATGCGGGTGCCGTCGTACGGACGGAAATCGGCGACGCACGAGAGTGCTACGCCCATGGTTCTGGTACGCGGAGTGCATGTTTTTGACGGTGCGAATGGCGGCATGCTAGACACCGCGAATGGATCGCATAATGTCAGGTTCGGGCAGACTATTGAATACGTTCAACCGGAGAGTCTCGGCGGGAGACAAGACGGAGGAAATGGGGGTGACGATGTGTTTGTGTATCGACCGCCTTGGTGAGGAATCTCATTTTTCCATTATCTTTTCGTCATGACTTAAGAAGGTTGTTGGAGTTACCTTGGAATTTGTTCCTTGCCCGCAAAATTGGAGTTTAAGACTGGCCTGGACTGTAACGGTCTTGGGCTCATCATATAAGACGGTTCATAGCGATGAAGAATTGTGTTTTCAACATGCTTCGATTTAACCCATGGTATCAAAGAGCACCGCGGAATGAAGCAAAGAACACGTGAAGAATACCTCCCAACCTCGTTTCGCCAATGCGCCAGACTTATGACCCGTATCTCCCCCTCTCCCCCAATCTACACTCATAATCTTGAGAGACGCCGTCTGCCTTATGCTGCGAGTTTCCGAGGATCGACTTCCTCCCCTTGTATCCAAATTCTCTTGATATTGCGTGTTGCACTAATGTCTTCCAGAGGATTGCCCTCAACGAGCACGAGGTCGGCCCTGAGACCGCCCCGGACGATACCTCGATCGCTGAGCCGGAACGCTTTTGCCGCCACACACGTCGCCGAGCGCAGCACGTCGAGCCGCGACATGCCGGCCTCGACAAGCAGACGCAGTTCTTCGTGCAGGCTCTCGCCAAAAGGGATCTGGGCTCCGGGTATCAAGTTCGCTGTCGTGCCGGCGCAAATGGTGACGCCGGCGTCGTGTAGCGTGCGCACACTAGCCGTCGCGTTGCCATAGTCGCTGCCCGCCGTGGCGCCCGGGTCGGTGTACTGTCTCGAGCCGGTGTCGGCCGAGTTGTTGTCGTGGTCCCCTTCCACATCGTCCGCGCCATCAGCACCATCAACATCGCGGCGCTGCGACGGGATGCCGGACGGACGGTCCCTGTGGCCGGTGTCGGTGGTGGTCGCGGTCGACTTTGAAGAGTTCTCGCCCGGCGCGCGTCTCCGCATCATGCCGAGCGTGGGCACAAAGATCTTGCCTTGGGCGGCCATCTCACGTGCCATGGCGGGGTCGAGGGCCGCATCGAGGGGTGCGTGGGCGAAGACGTCGAACCCGGCGCGCATGGCGCGTTCATAGGATGCCTTTCCGGCGGTACGGGCAATCGTGAGCTTGCCATGGGCGTGAGCGGCGTCAACAATGGTCTTGAGAATCTCGTCCGTGAGCGCGTAGAGGTCGACGACGACTTTGATGAAGTCTGCGCGGTCTGGGCCGCTCGATCTCGCAGAAACAAAGTTCACTGCGTCTTCGCGCGTGCGAATGACAGACTCGCCAGGGCTGTCGTACAGTTGCGGTTGGTAGTCTTTGGCGGGAGCGGCCTCGGTGCCAGAGGTCAGGAAGGTGGGCAGACCCGTCCGGCCGGCAGCATAGACTCGCAGGGCCTGGCATTGCTGGGTGTTGCTGCTCAAGTCGATAACGGTGGTGACTCCGTGACTCGCAAAGGTGCCGAGAGCAGCATTTGCGCCCTTGATGTTGGCATAAACATCAATAAAGCCGGGCAGAAGTGAGCAGCCACGGCCGTCAACAACATAATCAGACGTTTTGGCCTCGGAGCCGTCAGCCATGGGGTCTTGAATGTTGCCAGCGGATCGAGTGAATACGACATTCCCAACGTCACGAATCACCTCGCTATCGAAGACGCGAACATTTTTGATAAATATTTTAGTCATAGCTCCCCGCGTCGCGATCTCGATGAAGGTGTACGTGTACCGTGCTTCTAGTGTTATACTCCAGGGGTGAGAGGTGCTCTAGCTTGAGGGTGTGGTTTCGGATTCGGCTGCAGAACTATTGTTGCCTTTGGTAGTTGACGCAGATATACAGGTGGGTAATTCGACCAGAAACTCGATCTCCTGTCTTGACATTGCACACTAGGGCGGGCGAATACAGGAATACAGTGACGAATTCCCCAGAGCGCTTAGGATCGCCGCTACTGCTCAGACACATGCGGCACCAACAAGTCAACAACGACACGGCAGAAATGTTCCACAATGACAAGCAATGAGGTCATTGCAGCAATCCAACGGAGCACGGATTGTTCGCCGATAACAAGATTCCAAGCTTTTAGTGGAATCACGACCTCATTTTGCCTGAGAGGTTGGGGACATTGGCTTGCGCAGGGCCGTGCTGAGATATATTATGTTCGGAGGGGGTTCCGTTCATGAATGGAATCAAACTTGGAGTTAGAATCCGGTATGAACTCGACAGGGGAGGTCTGTAACGGTGCTCAAACGACTAACACGGTTCAATATCTGTCGACGTCAGATGTTGGTCATATTGATTCTGTGAAAAAGTCGAAGATAGGTCCGGTGAGCCAATGGGAACATCAAGTTGTTCGGAGCCCTCTCCTTGAACTCTGACCAGTAAAGAGGCCGTATCTGTATATTGTCGAGTTGCAACGTCCGTATCGTAGTCGATACTCGCCGTTTTCGCCAAGATCCTAATTGGATGGAAACCTGCATTCAACTTCTACATGTCACCTGTCACAAGGCGCCGCCTTACGTCGTTAGATGCGGTCATGGTCGGGCTTATACTTCCACTGAGGGGTCTAAAGTCTCGACATGTACCCATACTTGATCCACAGAGATGTAATTGTGGAGATATTGGAGCGGAAGTCCCTCCGGTCTCTGGTAGCTCTGAAAACCGCAACAGCTCCCTGTGGTCCTTGTAAGAAGTGCTGGTGCTCCGCTATGGTTGTCATTGTTCTCCTTGTGTCTATGGCCTCTTCTTTGCTATTACCACGCTCTAGCAGGTCACTGTTTTTGCATCTCCACCAGCTGCATTGTCGCAGTTTTTACCAAGTCAAAAAGCTGCTATGCTGGCCTGAGTGCTTGGAATCTAAAAACCGAGTAAAGCGCGCCGTATTCTCACACTTTATTTCAAACAGCCCATGAGGCTGTTTAATGTGGCTGCTTATGTCCTCCTTGCCCTCTCCAAGAGTGGATTGGCTTCTGACGAAGCCTGATAAGCCGGCAGACCCAAAGGAGCAGGCAACCCCACACCACTATTGGGAGGCTCAGACGACGGATTGTCGGCCATGCCGTTGGCGCCCTCGTAATGTTGAGATTCGCTTGAAACTCAAACCTGGGTAATCGCTGCGTTGACAGCCGTGTGCGTCAGCAATTCGGATGCTCTCCGTGTCCTTTTACAGCTTGTCACGCCAAAAGCGGACGCCTTCATTACGCAATTTAGCTCTGATGTAAAGAACTTGACGGGTTGCGCAGCAGTCCGGAAAACATGAGAGAGGACATCAAACAGACTGCCAGGCGGAAGCACTGTCTATGTTCGCCCAATTCCGTGTGTTGCGCGCAAAGTTGCGAGAAAACCTCGTGCTATAGGATACGAGTGGGTTGTAAGCCGTTCAGTCTCCCTGCCATGCTTTTCGGGCCTGTATTGACGGCACAATGTGGCTGATGAAGTTCAGATGCGCAGCTGGTACCGTATCAAACATCGTCATCGTCAGCGTCTTCGACCATAGCCTTCCTGGGTGCAGCGGTTTCGGTTGCGTCGATCGAGGTTACCGCTTTCAAGTACCCCTCTTGTTCAAGCCTATCCGCTTCCTCAGGCTCCATTAGACCGCCCTGACCCTTGCCCTTATCCATCTTGATTTTGACGGCAGTAGGCACGAATGCAGATACCGCCTCCTTGGTCAAGTTTCGAACCATGGGCTTGGCCTCGTACACAGTCTTCGGTTCTGGCGCCACAAGCTTCTCTTCCTTCTCCTCTGATTTCTGATTTTCAGCCTGCTCAGCTTGCCGACGAGCTCGTCTCTTGGCGTACCACTTGTCCATCACTTCCTTTGGAATCGGTGGTGGGGTGTCTCGTGGCATAGGAATACTCTTGACGTCACCGGGAACATCCTCGTCGCTTGTCAATTCATCGTCGTCCCGCCGTCGCTTCCCAAGGACGCCTCTTGAGGAGTCACCATCGCGGCTGAAGCCTCCGTGTCCAAATGATGGGGCTTTATCGCCCAGTGCTTCGCGCGCCTTCTTCACTGCACGCAGCTCCTTCTCGAGACCTTCGAGAACTTGTTCTTCGTGGCGAGAAAGCTTGCCGCCTCCTGTTGTGATGGCCTTGAGATCGTCTATTTGTTTCTGAATTCGTTCGGGATTTCGACGAGCAAGCTTCTCATTGCGACGGGATTGGACTTCAGCCTTGCCTAGATGGTTGATGCGTCAGTAGAGATGCCATCAATAAGAGCATGCGCATATTCCGGGGCCGGAGCGTACCCTTCTTGATTGCTTTAGCTTTGTCAGCCTTGCGCTGGGCTTGCACCGGATTGATGTTGCGTTCCTTCGGCATATTGAGATGTTGGACTGGGATGGTAGGATTTAGGGTGGGTTCGAGGTCGTTGTCGAAAGTTGATGTCGGCAGGAAAGAAGCTTTGGACATCAGAAGCCAAGACCCACTGCCCCGAGAGCTTGTTGACCTGCATAATCAAGATGTCTTATCGTATCACGTGAAGATTTCAATTAACACGGCCTGATAGTTGCCCCTGCAACATTGTTGACTTGATGCCCCGCATTACCCAATAACACTGTCTCTTTGTTCCCTGGCTTCCCCCTAAAACACACCAGTGTCCACCCGGGCAGCGATCGACTGTGCATGGTTACCGTCAACCCTTCTTGGCCAGGTCCATAGATCTTGGTCCGTCTCCATCCATCGCCCTGTATTTCAGCCCAAGCCAAACCCCACGGCGGAGAAGATAACAACAAAATAAGCCGTGCTGGTCATCCTCTATCACAAGCACACAACTTTATTCATATCTTGCAGCTGTTTCGACCTTTTCGAGTTTCTCCTCAGGAGCCCCTCACCAGCTGGTTGTTTTCTCGTTTCGCTTTTCGCCCCCGTCACCTCTCGTCTCTCAATCCATCTCAGCCTGTCTGTTTGGCACTTTCGCAACGATGTCGGGCTTCATGGCCAACCTATTCCCAGGAGGGACCAGAGACACCCATACATCGTCGCGACCAGAGACACCTACGAGAAACAGCTTCGTCAATCCATCCAACACGCCCCAGGGCAGCCCCAGCAAGAGAACTGTTCCCCCCGGAGCCCACGAACTGCCTGACGCATTCGACAGTGCGCTCAAGCTGAGCAGTCCCGTCCTCGAAAGACCCAGACTCGATCGTCCGTTGAGCGTGATCAATACCCCACAGTCCGCCGGAAGGGGCAATGAAAACAGCCCGAACGTGGACGATAGCGTGTTGCACAAGGGAGCCACCTCCAGCGGCAGTCCATTGAAAAAGTCCCACGGACAGGAGAACACTCCTCCCGCTTCGCGCTTGGGAGGCAACGACTCCCCTTACCAGCAAAGCCATGCTGCCATCTCTCGCCACGAGTTGTATCAACCTAGAGAGAAAGCAGTGACCCCCAGAAACAAGTTTAACACCCAAAGAGCTCTGACGCCCGAAGAGCTGGAGATTTTGCAACGTCCGAATGTTCGAAGACTAGTCAACGTGACGCAGCTCTGTATGTTCAATTTCTGGATCTTGCCGTCGCCCAACTGACCAAGAATAGACTTTCTTGACTACTATTTCGACCTCCTGACCTACGTCGGCTCCAGACAGAGCCGTTTGACTGCGTTCCAGTCGGAAATTCCGCCTCCGCCCGAAACTGACGAAGCGACATATAATCAGATGTGGCAGAAGTACAAGGGCCGAGAGCGTGCCAACCTCAGAAAGAGACGCGTAAGACTTCGCCAGGGTGACTTCCAGATCCTGACGCAAGTTGGACAGGGGGGCTACGGCCAGGTGTTTCTCGCCCAGAAGAAGGACACTCGCGAGGTTTGCGCCCTGAAGGTGATGAGCAAAAAACTGCTCTTCAAGCTGGACGAGGTGCGCCACGTCTTGACAGAGCGCGACATCCTTACTACTGCCAAGAGTGATTGGTTGGTCCGGCTGCTTTACTCATTTCAGGATGACAAGAGTATCTATCTTGCCATGGAGTATGTGCCCGGTGGAGATTTCCGGACCTTGTTGAATAACACTGGCGTTCTGAGCAACCGCCATGCGAGGTTCTATATTGCCGAGATGTTCTGCTCTGTCGATGCCCTTCACCAGCTAGGCTACATTCACAGAGACTTGAAGCCGGAAAACTTCCTTGTGGACTCCACTGGACACGTCAAGCTCACTGACTTTGGATTGGCAGCCGGCATGCTCGCCCCGGCTAAGATAGAGTCCATGCGGGTTCGACTCGAGAAGGCTTCAGAGACATCAGTGCCGTTCGGAAAGCCTATGGACAAGCGAACTGTGGCGGAGCGACGCGAGGGATACCAAACGATGCGGGCAAAGGACATGAACTACGCCAAGTCCATCGTTGGCTCGCCTGACTACATGGCGCCCGAAGTTCTGCGAGGAGACGAGTACGACTACACTGTGGATTACTGGAGTTTGGGCTGCATGCTGTTCGAGGCACTGACGGGATTCCCTCCTTTTGCTGGTTCCACTCCCGACGAGACTTGGCGGAACTTGAAGCACTGGAAAGAAGTTCTCAAGCGGCCTGTCTGGGAGGACCCTAACTACTTCCTCAGCAACCGCACATGGAACTTCATTACTACGTAAGTGACTGCCCAGGGGTTGTACATTACATTTACTAACTATGGTCTCTAGCTGCATCAATTCCCGGTCCAAGCGCTTCTCAAATATCAAAGAAATCCTTGAGCACCACTACTTCGCTGAGGTTGACTGGGACACCCTGCGGAGTACAAAGGCTCCATTCGTGCCTGAGCTCGATTCGGAGACTGATGCAGGATACTTTGATGACTTCACCAACGAGGCCGACATGGCCAAGTATAAGGAGGTGCATGACAAGCAGCAGGCCTTAGAGACTATGGCGGATCGTGATGACGAGATGGGCAAGAGTCTCTTCGTCGGCTTCACATTCCGCCACCGCAAGACCACGGACGACGGCAGCCCGCGCAAACCGATACCATTCAAGGAGGAGGAGGACGCCTTCGGCACGATGCTGTAGAGCACGCCCGTGTGGCGAAGAACGGAATGGCAGTGGTTTTATCAGCGGGGCTACCGCTGAGTTTGGAGTCGAAGGATTCCATTCATGATGATGATGAGATAGACGTCATAGGAGGAGAACACTGCGGTGTTGGGGACCGCAGGCTACTTGTATGAGTTTGGGACTGGACTACCCTGCAGCAACGGCATGTTTGAGATGAGATTTTGGACTTTCTTTTTGCGCTGGAGTTTGCAAGAGGATGGGATTAGGATGATGGGCATGCTGCATAGCATTAAGCAAGCAGGGTCCTTCTGTCGGTTGGGATTAATCTTAGAGGGTGGGACGGCGTTGCAGACGGCCGACCATCCGACACACGTGGGACTAGAGACGATGGAGACACGCAGAAAATTGACCTCTTTTTTTCCTTTCCAAATCTGTGAGCCTTCCCCGACTTAGCGGTGTCAGCCAACTGTCCGCGTCATCTGTTGAGGCTGGCGCGAAACCCCGTCAGAGTACCTACCTTAGCTTCGACGGAAGTGGCCAGCCTTGCCCCTCGGAAAGACGGCAGCTAGCCAACGATCTTGTGCCTGTTTGTCACGGCGGCTGGGTTGGTGGTGGATGGGGCTTGATCAGCCCGAGCCCAGCAGCAGGATAAGCACATATTCTGAAACAAATCGAATAAGTCTCCGGTCTAACTCGGCGATCAGGTCCTCGGCGCCCAGACAGTGATCACTTGCTGACAATGTTTCGTTTCGTTCCTTTTATTCCGACTTGAGGAGCGGCATGATCCCGATGACCTGGTTGCGAGTTGCATCAGCTGAAGCGGGGGACGCACCAGCACCAGCATCAGCGCACACATTGGGACGAGGCGACGCGCATACATCAGAGAAGAGACTCAGCACCGGTTGAAAATTTCAGCGCCTCTGCGCAGCAAAAGAGATGAGTGCCAAAGGCATCAGGGATCCTTCTTTCGAGTTACCCGAGGGACCGAGCCAATGCGGTTGAAACGGAGGTTGGTGTTGATTGGCTTGGACTGCGATGGATCGCCGGCCGACACTAGGGGCTCCCGCTACGGCCGGTGTTCCCCAAACCCCATCCCGGACTCCTGCCTGTCGTGTCACATCACCAATGCCTTGTCGACGCTGCCCCGTTGAGCTAAGGTAAGCATACAATGCCGACGAGCCACTAGACTTGTCCGACTGCCGCAGGCTAAGGGCTGACTCTGGGCAGGCTTCTTGTCGGGCAACGCCGCGCTATTCTCTCTTTCTCTGTCTTCTTGTGACACTGGCCCGGGGACCCTGCCATGCAGGGCCGCACGGTGGCTTTGAGTCGAGGGGGTCGATGGACTGGGCGGCCTGCACGATGAGCTGCGCCGGAATTGTAAGCAGGCAGGCTGCGGGAGGGAGGGACAAGACTCTGAGTGCTGCGCTGAACCAGCTGCGTGGCTATCTGATGGATCTGCGGAGGGCTCAAAGAGTCCACGCGATGTCCGTGACCTGGGGGCGGTTCCCTTACCAAGGAGACGAAGGGGGCACCAAGACACCATGTCATTGCTTTTTGCCCTACGACGGGCCCTACGGCTGTTCGGGACCGAAGCTCTGTCTTCCCACCCCAGTCTACAGCAGTAGGATCACCGGAGACGTCGGTGGGTGGAAAGGTGCGTGTGAGGCGAAGAGGCGGTCATGTCGTTCGCAGAATATAAAGGGAAGCCGTTCGAGCTTCGAACCATCTGTTGTTTGGCTTTTGATTCGAACCATCAGCTCGGGACGCATCTTCCTTTTCGTCGCAACATCCATCCAACCTACTAGTCTCTTCACTCGAACCGCCGCATATTTCCTGCAAGACTCACTGCAGTCGAAGAATCGCAATCTACCGCAAGGTACATCACACACAACACCAAAAAGCAAAAAACAACAAGATGAGGGCCACCATTGTCGCTGCTGCCCTGGCTCAGGGCGCTGCTGCCGTCGCCGCCCCCAACGGACCCGGCAACGGAAACTGGGCCCCGGTAACGGCGCTGGCTTCGGTGGGTTCGGATACGGCGGTGGATGGGGCGGTTTCGGCCCTGGCGGTTTCGGCAACGGGGTTGCCCAGTGCGCTGTAAGTCCCATGTTTTACACTTTCCCATCATCGCAACATTTTGTCCCATCTTCTCCAAGTCTCCCATTTCCCCGAAACTCCTTTTGTCATTAACGGTTAACTGACACACCCACTCCCCACAGAGCTCCTGCTTCTCCTCTCACTTCGCAACTGCCACCCCTACCCCTCAAGCCTTCTGCACCGACGCCCCGCAATTGAACGACTGCGTTAGCTCCGCCTGCACCACCGACTCGGCTGCCCTGGCATCTTACACCTCCGTCTCCTCCTCCGTATGTAACGCTTTCACCTCCTGCTCCAGCACGAGCACCTTCACCTACAGCGGCGGTTGGTGGGGCGGCGCCTCCAAGACGGACGCTGCCGTCACCATCACCGGATGCCCCGTTGACGGTTGGTGGGGCCCCGGCGGCGCGTGGGGCGGTATGGGCCCCGGCTGGGCCTACAAGACCGAGACTGTCACCCTTACCCGCACCATCAACGGCGTTGCCACCACGGGACCCGCCACCGTCGCCCAGGCCGTCTCGGGCAGCAGCACGCTGTTCACGACCTTCACTGGTGCGTTCGCCGCTCAGGAGACGAGTGGCTCTTCCGGTTCGGGCTCGCAGAACGCGGCTGCTGGCGGCGACTCCAACCGCGCTGTCAAGGTTGCTGGCGCCGCCTTGGGCGCGGTTGTTGCCGTTGTCGGACTGATGTAAACGAATTGCATCAAGACTGGCGATTTCTACCTTGAACCTGTATACCTTTATCCCCCTTCCCCTTTGTGTATTTTACAAACGGGATTTGCAAAAATGACGCGGAGAAAATAAGGGGCCATGATTTGGGGTAAACTGTGGGGCAAGGATCTGTTTTGATTTCGACTTCACTCCTTAATGGGCTGGAGTACATGGGGTGAAGGGATGTGAATAGGGCTGGATACCTTTTGTGTTAACGTGTTTGATGACGAGACGTCTCTGACATGAGATGAACACAGTCTTTACTTATGATCTAGTATAGTCACGGCCGGATACAATGAATGGAAATTGATTTTTCTGAATGATATGATGTCAGTCAATGATGCTTTTGCGGCCCATCTCTTCTCCCATTGAGAGGGGAGCAGTAAGGCTCGTGATGCCGTCTGTCTGAGAATTTGACTGCTGATACATGACGGGCAGCAAAGAATGAATCACAACGGACTAAGATTGCTGCCACCCCCCTTGGCAGGAAACTTTCGTCAGACTAAACAACTTATCAAGCTCAGAAGGTGGTTGCGAGCCTGGTAGCACGTCATGAAAGCTTAGCTTATATAACTTCTCCACAAGCATACCAAGTATAAAGAATGATACACCTACCGCAACTTGTGAGAATCAGACGTCACCAAGGGCGAGACATGTGAAGGGTGGAGCCAAGGCTTCTTGCTTGGGTTTGGACCACATTCAGCAAAACTCGAAAATCACACAAAGTCACACCACCTCCTCGGACACCATTACAACAGGCAGGAGCCCTCAAACTTTCCTTCACAGAGACCCCCGTTGCTGTGGGGATGGCCGTCAACAATCACGCCCCACTTCCGTCCCGGGACTCGAGGTGAAGTTACCGGATGAAATCACAACAGGCAGACGCGAACCACCCGCGCTCCTTCCTCCTATTGCTTCCATCTGGTACACAACGCTAGTCTGAGTACCTTTATGGTCCCAAGAAGCGCGTGAGACCCCTCTTGGCCAACAAATCTTCTCGAAGCTGTCGCCAACACAGAAGGCGGCCCCTGGGCGTAGGGGTTCAGGTCAAACTGTGGGTTGTGGCAGGTCGCCAAGGTCGATTGTTCGAATCCCCCTCTAGTCGTCAATCCCGAATTTTCGATTCCGCCTTGATAGCCTACTCGACGACAGGCTTGCGATGATCAGCTTTCCCGGCATGTGCACCAGAGATGTAGCTCCCACCCGTAGGAGTGAACTCTTTTGACTTTTCGGTCATGTTTATTTTGCAACTGTGTGTTCTGTCAACGTACAGTCTTCCCTCGTCAACAGCATTGTTCGTTGGTTTGAGCGTGTTGTTGGAAGGTTGGCTGCTAGGTAAACCTGACTGTCTATATGTAATCAGTCTACGCTGTTATCTGCCTATCTTGATTATCTGACAGGTAGGTTGTCACGTGGTTATGTCGGCTTTATTTAGGAGGTGTCTGAAATACAAGCCGGAGAGTAGTGATTCAAGCGAAAAAATCCCGAAATAGGATCTTGATTGGCATGGCTGCGGGCTTGTGTAGGTGAACATAGATCACCTTGGCTACTTTGGCCAGAGACGATTATTAGCTCTGACGGGCAGCACATTCACATCATTCAACGAGTTCCAACGGATAACCCAGATTGATGGACTTCATCGTCGGCCGCTCCTCTGCTTTCATCAGTTGGGCTTTAGCAGATCTCCAAATGATTAGGTCTGAAGGCACAACCATCCCTTGCCCTCGGCCTTTTTGCTGATATTGAGGGGTTTTTGTATTTCAGTTCCACGGCCAATAATACTATTTCTCTCGGCATTGTTTATGAATGATTTCCCCAGACCGAAGTTATCTAGTTCACTGGCATCTTTCTATCATGCTGGTAATAGTTTGGATCACCTAATCATCTGTTGAATAGTTTGACTCTTTGTACTTCACACCCAAAAAGCTCAAAGTGAATCACCTATGCCACGATTATTTACGTGAGACTTTCCGAGCAACATTCCGGTGCGACATGTTCAGACATACAGGAGCTTGGTATACAACAACCCTACCGCCTCAGTAGCAACACTTCTACGAAAACACTGCAGACACGAGTACCGTGGTAACACATAAAAGCCCCAATGTAGTGATTCAATGGTAATTTTGCGTTGTAGAAACACTCCAGTCACCATCCAGTGGTGGAAGTCAGCCCTTCGAGCTGCGTAACTCGATGCGCCCGTCGCAAATCCAACGCTGATATGGACTGCATATCAGTCCAACAATTTGCATATCATTCAAACGTTCCTCCAGTCCTTTTCACGGATCCCGTTGATTCATACTGCCGCTGCCTCATCAAGCCGCCATCGCCTTGCGACCTCGCGTGCTCGCGCTCTTACTACTGAATAATTTTCGCGACACAACACACTGCAAAGAGGCTGGTGTGGCCAATTCCAATTCGAGGAAACACACCATTCGATCACTCAAAATGACCCGTTGCTAGTGAAGTAGTTCTTCTAGGAGAAGCACTTTGGAGTTTAGCCAGTGCTAGATTCAGGACTGTGTTAGCTTCTAGTTGAAATATGAACTCAGCACTAGGCTTGAGTAACACAGATCAGATGAACACAGTCTTACAGAATCACAGGTTGCTTTCTGGTTATATCTCCCTCCCTACCCAATCAAGTCTTCAGGTTTCGCCTTGAGAAGTGACTGACAACCCCGAAGTCAAATTCCTTGACAAACGCCACAGCAGCTACGCGTTGGATCTAATCGTTAAACCATCCTCACCCACGCATGGAAAACCTCGAACTAATAACCCCAACACGCCCATTGCCTGTTATTCAAGACTGGCCCGCTCCAGTTCCGTCTTTTCTGTTTGCCCTCAAAATCCAAGCAAGTCAACAGTCACGCTCACGCTCACGCGTCACCAGGATCGAAGAACCCGGGTTGGTGGTAATCGTAATAGCATAGATGGCAAGTGTGAAGCGTTGTATCTAAGGTAGTAAAGTCGATAGGAGGCCCGAAGCTTAGACTTCGTGGCTCTCCCTGCAATCATGACGCGAAAGGTTTGCGTGTAAAAGCTGACGCTGCTCCCCAATGACACGACATGTATTCGCCGCCAGGGTAGCCTAAATCCTTCAACTATGAGCCTCTTCTGATCCAATTCAGGCCATGTATCGCCTACCTGGTTAAATTGCCAGCGCCGGACACTCGTCCTGAAACGCCCTGAGGACATTGTTTCTGCAAGTGACATGTACTCGATCAATTTCCTTACAATGGGCGCTGGGCCCGGAAACATTAACAATCAACAGTCGATTTCAGTACGATTTACAGATCACTGTGTCTTTTGTAATATTTCAAACCACCCAGCACACCCTTCTTCGCCTGAAGAATGATCCTACTGTTGGGCAAGGAACGGAGCAAAGCTTCCAGCGCGTATGGATGCCTCGTCGATGATCTATTCATATATCACATTGGTTTCCTCCTGTCCATAGAGTTTCCACGCGAAACAAAATGGACTGGAAAGAAGGTTAAAGCCATACACCCGAGAGAGAAAGTCTATACAGCTTTCAGAACACGGCAGACAATTCCACGGCGGCAGACGCCTCTTAATCCCACCGAGATCCCCCCAAAAAGCCGCGCGGACTTTCTTTCTCTCTGCGAATGCCCGTCGTGCGAGAACACAGTTGACTTTACTCTCGCGCACAGCGCTCAAACTCCTACCCAGCTGCACTGTAGATACGGGGCATCCGTCTGCCCGCGGCTCGTCGGCTCGCGCCAAGCTATAGATCATCCAAGCATGGGGTGCGGAAGGGCAGCCCCTGATACTTCCCGTGACACCATCAGACCCGATACAGCCACACATTTAACATGACATGAGAGGCAGGCAAGGCTCTGCCTGTTCCGCCGCACCGCTATCGCATGGAAGCCACCGCCGCTCCAGGGCCGAACCCAAGTGCCGCGGACGGCTAAGCGACTCAGGAACGGACAAACAAGCGCGGAGGTCTAACTTAAACTCCGTAGCCACCGGGGGATTCTGGCACGTACGCCCGCCGAGCGGGCATGTGTTGCGAAGGCAGCCGCGGGGCCGGTCCTAGCACGGCACTCGTTGCATCGCGAACGTGCGAATGAGGAGGGGAGCGCTCACACGTCGGCTAGGGGAGGGGTAGGCAGACAGGTGTCGTGCGCCTCCTGCCGAAGCATAAACTTACGACGAACGTTCATTCTTGGGGCGTGGGCGTTGTTTTGAAAGATGCTCAGAACGGTTCATGCCCTTCCCTTACTCGGATCACGAGCACGGGTCCACCGGGGGCCCAAGACCAGATCCATTGTCTTTGGAGATTAAATTGTGACGAACCATTTAAACTTTCCGAGCCGACTGCGGTGATTTTGAAACGCAGGAGCGCCAAATCAAAGGAGAAATAGGCACCCCTATGGTCTTTTAGAGTTCTCCCACCGGGTGCGGACGTTGACTCGGAGCGTTGAGCCTCGGCGCCGTCGACAATGTCCCCGGCCACCCGCGGAACTTGGGTTTGCACTGGCGGCGATACCGGCCTCCCGCGACCCTGTTTTTGTCTGAGGAAGAAAACTACCATGTCGCAATGTGGCAGCAGCAGCAACCCCGGAGGGAGATAATGCCACAGGTGTTGTCGCCACTGGCGTGGCTACATCTATCAATTTAGGTTAGGCTGGCCAACTGCTGAGTTGAAACTCATTCTGAAAAGGGGCTCAACACGCATGTGAAAGACCGCAGCGGGTAGGGAAGCTTTGTATCCAGCCACTTTCCGTCGACAGACAAAAAAAAACCATGTTAGATAAAAATAAATAAAAATAGTGTTCACGACTGAGCTGTTGTGGGTGGTATCCTATGTGCCGATTCGACCTAACTGTGTCGCGATACCGAAGTTCGATCTTCACTGTATGCATGTCTGGGGTATGTCAGCAGAAGCGTTCCAGTGAATTGTCAGAACAAGTCGCATACAGCAACTCTCTATCGGAATAATAAGTGACTTGATTATCACATGAGAGAACAACCTTGGTCGCGTCAGAGGCCCCAACCAAAGAGAATGGTCCAAGGTGCACATTGACTCATCGGCAGTCCAATTAGCCAACTGACTTCCTGAAGAGTCAATGCGCCGCATGCTGATCGGGTCGTTGGCAAGCCTGCATGCGGCGCAAGGATGTGATGTCTTTCAGGCGCACCGTCATGTAAACATGGCAGGCGGCCCATCCCATTATCTCACGGTTAGCTCGTCAACGATCTCGATCGTCCAGTTACTACGGAAGCAGGGGACTCGGTTCTCGACACCCTGTATTGCAGGATTGAACACGACAGCACCCGGGTGCCAGACAACGCCTTGCCGCTGCCAGATGCCGGGAGACGACCGGCGAAAACATCAGCGGCAGGAAAAGTGGACCGGCCGCTCCTCCGTGACGGCGGCTGACTGATCGGGCCTCGTCGTACGACGCTTCTGGTGCGGACCAGGCCGCCTTATCCATCCCCACCGGAGAAAAGCGCCAGAAGCCTCCACTGAAAATCTTTACGTCTCAGCATCGGTCAGGTTGAAGCAAGGCGTCGGTGGGGCGGACTTAGGTCGGAAGACGTTCGGGTAGGTGGTGTTTGTCATCCTGTCAGGTCGCGTTGCGCCGTAGAAGTGACTAGCATCGCGAGAAAGGATTTTCTTCGAGCCCCCAGCGGTTAACTGCCCCTCGTGAATCATGAGGTAAGTGATGAGGTATTTGTGGACGAATTGAAACTGCTCCGTACGCAGCCCCGGATGTTGGCACATTTCGATTCTATGATAAGAGGATTCGCTGTCTTGTGGAGTTGCGATGCACTTCGTGATCGTAAAATCGATCTGTTTGACTCGCGCAGCAGTGGTCTACCTTGGCAGCGACCAACTTTTTGCTTCTCCAAACTGCCAATCCTCTGCCAATCCTTTGATCAACATTATCGCATCAGACCAACACGTGCAAACTTCGCGCGGTATGAGAATGAACTTGGCAAGCTTGTCATTGCATATCTTGGATCTGCTTCAAAACGTGACAACAGCTTTGTGCAAACAGGTCTAGGCCTGTTCTGATCTGTCCAGAGGCCCATGTGCCTCATGGCGAGACGATGCATAACCTCGACGAGCCTCAGGTGATAAACGGTCAACCTATGCCTAGTATGGACACTCAAGGCCGAAAGAGTCGAGCGCGTGTTGGTCAATGCATGCAGTTCGTTGGTGTGCTCCTGCCCGTTGTAGGAGTTGTTGCATCTCAGGAACGGCCCATTCTGAAGAAAAGAGGTTAGTCGCCTGGCCCCGGTGGTTTTGGTCCTGCCACCGAGAGTCTTCCGAGTGGCCCTGCAGACGATCTCCATTGAAATTTCAGATCCAGCCCGGAGATAGCAACGGGGAACGTCCCCACCCCTCCGAGGTTTTGCAGGTGAGGACCGGTGGCGTGACTCGAGACGCTCCTTGTTTTCGTCAAAGCACCGCTGTGCTCCGCTATCAGCCCTTCAGCCCCTTTCAAAACGTCTTGAATGAATAAGACTCCTTGGCGATCGAGATTCTGGACCGTCTAAAGGTAGAGATGACCAAGGAACAGAACTGGCAAAAACAAGGCAGGGCTCGATACGTATGGGGCCCTGTCACTGGTGTTTATCATGTCCGCGTCGTTGTTTCCCCTAAACCGTCAACCGTTATGGAGTGTTGCTGTGTTTGTTGTAACCTACCTTCCGTTTGAGTGGACCAAGGACGGCACATGTCTGGGCATGATCCATTACTAGACAGCTCCGGGATAATGGATACCGTACGGCAGTGTCCCCGACGCCGTCACCCGATGCCAAGACATATCGGCGTCCGCTGCCTTCAATCCCGTAATCCCGGTCACGGGTCGTTTCGGGCCCGGAGATCAACCAAAAGGAGTGTAATGGCGGAAAAACTCTGTTTTCTAAAGGCCCACCACAAGCCTCGGCTGAAGAGTGAACTTGCGTTTTCATCAAAATGGAGTGTGGACAGCATGATCATGCGCCCCAAATATCCACACAGAGCGGGAAGACGTGCAACCCCGGCGCGTATCAATCAACGGACGATACATAGTACCAGGTGAAGCGGAACCATCAGGTGGGGAGTTCTCGTGGAAGAAAACGAGGGCATCCATCTGGGTCGATGACCCATATGCTTCGGAGCCGCCGTCGAGTACTTGGAGTACATGATCCTCCTAGTATCGCAAAGTTACTAGTTGTCCAAGGCTAGGACTACGGGACAATGGGTGAGACAGGATACCGAAACTCGTTCAAGAAATGAACTCAAGACTTGGACCCGAGTGACGTCTTCTGTACCTCGATATCTTGTAAAGCTGGACTGCGCCCAATCCGATGTCAATATCCAGGCTGAACCCCCCCCATTTCGGCAAGCGGCTCGTCCTTTCATGGGAGGGAGTAGGCGCAGCTGGAAATCCCCCAGACCAACAATGGACGGCAACCAAGGACTATGGCGAATTAGGTATCGCGTAGCAGGACAGGTCAAAAACCGCGCCGATAGGCAATGAGGCTCCGATGCGGCCAGACGTCATGGAGAACGTGGTGGTGGAGTCGAACCTCGGCCGAAGTGGAAGTTAGGCCAAAGCCGAAGTCCGTTTGTGGGCCGAGGACGGTGGTGGTGCTGTTGATATCACAGTAGACGATCGGTAGGGCGCTCGGCGGCTGCAAGACAGCGGGTAGAGTGACCGGTGGGCTATCCGATAGCGACGGTATCCTTGTTCAAGGCCCAAAAGACAGCGGTGGATGGAAGATGGCGTAAGTCACTATTACCGTGGAAGGTGTACTGCTCTGTCCATGTCCAGATGTTCAGGTGTCCCGACGGCGGGGAAGAGAGGCGGCTGGTGTAGGTGCGCGATCTAGATTCCGGCTTCTTCCTAAGCCCCTGGAAGAAGATCCTTTCACGAATGATAAAAGGGGTCACGAGAAGGTGTTCGTCAGACGGGGACCAGGGGAACCCAAAGGCCCGGATCCCGATCCTCATGGTGGATGGAGAGGAAAGGGTTTCTAGTGTATGTTAAAGTTGTACAGGGTGAAAGCGGCGCGGCGCAGCAGGCATTGTTGTCCACCATCTCCAGGTCACAGGTTTGGAAAAAAAATAAAAATTTTACAAATAAAGAAAACAAAAAAGGGTAGGGGAGGGTTCAGGGATGGATCGCCTTCTCGGCGGTTGAGAGTGCAAGTCGGAGGCCGAAATGCCGTCTTTGTCCCCGAGAGATGGCCGCCTCAGGGGGCAGCCGTTGGCTCATGATCAGTCAAGGATCTTCGGGGATAACTTTGTGCAAAACGCAGACCAGACGGGGAGCGGGAGGCATCCGCTGGCTTGGGCTGCGCTACCCTGGCGGAGACTGATCCGAGCCAACCCTACCGTAGCCCTGCGTAACGGACTTTAGCTTGTTGACGGCACATCGTCTATGATGACAGCGGGCAAAAGGCGTAAGTCATCAAGGGGACCAGACGGATACCTACCCAGACAGGGCCATCGTTGCCCCATCGAGGGTCTGGGATGGTATCGAACGGATGGATACAACGAGATGAGCACAGCCGGGCAAGAACTTGGAGGACGTTGGAAGGCAGTGTGCCGAGAAGCGGACAGCGAAGAGAAGTCGTCGGCCGGCAGGTGTTGATCGATGTAGACCGACGAAGCCCAAGGCGATCGGGCTGTACGGGAGAAAAGATGCCGATGATCAGGCGACCTGATTTAAACCGTGGGAAGATGAACCAGAATTATGATTTTTGAGAAATGGGCACTAGGAGATGGCAGTTCATTGCCGTGGGACATGAGAACGGACACGCAGGGGAAGGAGGTACTCGATGAATACCAAATGCCCACTAAACGCTACGTACCTGCCTTGATGCTGGAGTGGTGACCAACGTATACTTCATCACCGAGTTGAGGGTTTCCATCGCGGCGCCAAGTGGACACGGCACTTGACAGCAGCGTAGCCGATTAGTCAGTCTCCTGGTGAATTTGGCTATGCCTAACGGGGACGTGGAGGAGACCGACCCACCGATATTTGGCACACAACAACACTTGCGAACGACCTTCTAGAAAAAAATCGACGGTCCATGATGATTTCACTCCGCTGGCAAAGACTGGGCGGGGGGGGGGAGAAAGGATGGGTCCGTTCGTCGGGGATATTCCGCACTCCAGACGTAGTGACTCTGTGCTCCGCAACGAGTTTTTTCGTTTTTTGTATTTGCATCGTATACCTTCTGTAGGGAGTACCGTGGGAGACGGTGGCATGCGGCTTCAAGCGTCAAAGTCGTACTATCGGAGGGGAGCGGTGATTGAATGCCTTTACTCCAAACTAGCCATCCCACTTGGTTCCGGCGATTAACTAAGCTTTTTTTCCAATCCCACTTGCGTTGTGAGATTTCTAATTCATCCCATGCTAAGTCCGATAAGGGTCGGGGACGGCGACAGCCACAGCCCGATTGAGCAGCACGGAACGGCCCAGGTGTGCGAGGGCAGATACTGCGCTTCGTTGCAGACTTGCTCTAGTTGGGATTCTCCCTGGTAAAGCCGCGATGATATCATTGTCGTGGTCGTACGTGCTAGGTGAGAGCGACTCCTCGCTACGAGGACGCTATCCCGGGCTAACCTTGATGGCTCAGTTTGCACAGAACATGACACAACGGACAAGGCCAGAAGACGCCAAACCTACTCACCACGGGTGGTGAGGTAGAGTGCAGGTTAGCATTTGGGATAGAAGGAATCATTAAACTGTCAGCAGCGAACGCGGACTTGTTATCTCCGCCCCGTGGACCTAGACCCGTCACCTCCAGGCCGGATCGGCATGAGGAAACCGAAGGTAGGTCGCAGAACAATGCCATCGTGTGCGTGCAGTCATCAAGCTGGAAGGGGGGGGGGGAAAGGCTTGTCCATACTAAGTGGCAGATGCAGATGCAGATGCAGCGTCTAGGATCCCAACTGGGGTCGTGGCATGAGTCACATTGAGGCTGTAGTGTAACATGTGTGAGTAAGTGAGTAAGATCATGCAACGAGGCAAATGAGCCCTGGAATCATCGTACATACACTACTTCGCGTTATGCTAGGTATCAATCTCTGGCAGAGTCCCGCACATCCAAACCCGACGGAAATAAGCACTGCTTACATTAGTGTTATCTCCTCCCAGCCCCACCAACCACCTCGGCAGAGCTGTGGGTTCAACAGGTGCATTCCAATTCGGTTTGGGAAGTGCATCTTCCACGTTCTACCTAGAGTGGATTGTCCGCGATACTAAACTAGTATGGTATGCATGTAGGTATGTATGTACTTCTCCGTCCAGCCAGCCAGAGAAAAGGTCGAGTTCTCACTGCTTCTGCAGCTCCACGTCGAAGACTCTAATTATGCACGAGGGGCTCTTTGGCTTGGGCAAAATCGACCTCCGTTGCTTATTGCTGGCTTTCCTGTGCGCGCGTACCGTTTCGGTCACTCGGACAATTGAGGAGGGGGGAGGCAGCAATTCGGCTTGGACACTCAATTAGAAAGTATCGCACCTCGTACTCGTACGGCGGGCGACCACAGACGCTGTTGCCATGTTTTGACCCAATCTTCAGTCACTAGGACTCTCGTCTAGGAAGCCTCGACTGCTTGGCACGCCGCCCGGAACCTGCTACGGCATGGTCCTTGACCTGAGGCTGCTTGGTATGTTGACTGCTAACCACCTGTAACAATCAATATCCTCCTTTCCCGCCAGCTACCCGGCTGTCGGTTCGAGCAATGAGGCGAGCGCTCTTTCCCTGACTTGTGCGACTACATCCTAAAGAATAGACGCCGACCTTTGTTCTTGTGTCTCGCCTTTTTATTTATTTTTACGAGGCTTGGTGCGTTGCAACCTCACCCACCATAGCTACATCACCGCTGCCACTAAGCATCGCCGACCGCCACCGCATAAATCAGACCTATATGCAGACACCGTTCTGCTCGATTCAACCTTCGAATCCCAGTTGGCCTTGCGAGCCTCTGCCCTGTGCGGTCCACCCTCAACCTCACGAGACCTCGGCCATGGTCAAACCGTCGCCGTCGACGGGCGAGCGGGCCAGAGGACGGCCTCGCAGTCTTCAATCTTGTCCGTGCTCCGCGGTTCCCCCGCGAGCCATCGGCGAATAGGCTATCATCCTCCGTTCCATCTCCCCTCATCCGCCGGGCTTCCACAGCAAGCCCCGCTCTCCGACCATTCGTGATCGCTCACGAACCATTGGCTGCGCGTGCCGCCCGTGGCGAAGCTGCCATAGTTCGCTCGACACGGAAAGAATCTGGCGGCTCTTAAGCGTCGACTTTGGATCAAAGTTTGCTGCTCGAAACTATACGCCATGACGTCTGGCGCACCCTCGGACGGTGTCACAGTATGAGATGGGTTTGAAGGTGGACGCGACCAGCCTGCACGATCCTGCCGCACAGAGTACTGCGCCGGCCACGAGTTTGAACTGAACTTCCTCACCTTGCTACCAGCTCTGCTCCAACGAACTGCCCCGGGCAACCTCGCCTAGGAGCTTCCGCAAAGTTTGTGGTCAGGCACTGCATGCCTTCTATGCAGCTCGCCGAAGCATCATGAACTTTGACCAAATGGGTAGCCACAGCTCTTGGCGTTGACCAGACTTTGGCACGCACCGACAGCATGGGATCTTCGTCATGGAGCAATTTAGGATGACACAAAAGCCACGGCATCCCACACAAGGTGTCGGCACCCGCTGACCTTAACGAGGAAGTCCCTGCATGGAAGGGAGCTCGACCTTCCCTCAACGTCTGTTCCCCGAGACCGTTTTGCAGGCAGCTGGCCCTACGCTCAAGCCCTATCAACAAGAAACGCCCTTGACTGTCGCAAACTTGAGCCTCTCCACTCAACGACCTAGGTAGGTACCGTCGTGAGTCGGGCAGAACATGAGCCGGTGGGCCCCTTTTAGGCCCTTTTGGGCCTCGACCATGATATCGAAGCATTGAAGAGCCAATGCTATTTTGGTTGCAAGGCGTCGGGCGTGGCCAGCTAGTCAACGTTTTGGGCTCAATCCAGTGGTCATAATCCGTCATGATTCATCAAACCTGGCTCCCTGTCATTTTGCTCGAATTTGGCCTTCCACCCAGGGACCAACCACGCGTATCAGCGACACCTGGCCGAGTCTAGTCTTTGGCGTCATCAATCCAATCATGCCTTGTTATGTCTGCGGTCGAGTCCAAAGCCTTACCGACACCGTTCATCATCGATGCATCTGGCCTACTGATCTTGGGTTGCTTTGTTGTTGACAATGACAGCACAGCCAAAAGTTAAGGCCCCGCTCTCGGCGCCGGCCTCATCAACACGCCGGAGACTTGGCGTGCGGGATTGCAGCTGACCCTAATCGCACCGTTGGCGGCCCCATCGAATCCCGCCGAGTGCGCAATCATGAAAATTACAGTTATGAGCACCCTGGGACAGAAGGACAAATCTCAGCACTCGACTTGGGACCGAGGTGTATTGAATTGGTGTGCTCGTAAGTTGGCGCTCGCGGCTCAACAGCAGTCACTACAGCGAGGCACACCTGCTCCTCCAAGGGGGGCAGGCATATCGTCAAGGCGCATTGGCATCAGTACGACAGCGGAAAGAGCACTACCGCGTACGGTCGAGGACGGACGAGTGGGGATGGAGAGAGTTCGGAGTTGGTTTGTCATTCTCGGTGCGAGATGTATCTTCCTTTCCTGCCATTTCGCTCCATTCCTTGGCTTTGTCACCCATGCAGAGCTTACTCATGTTGTCGGAGACTTGGCAACCTCCACAGCCGAAGTACTGTCATGTACCCATCAGTAACCAGAGCGGGCCGCTCAACCTGCCTTACCCCTTGACAGCACCATTACGAGCCTTATCCTCGCATAACCCACTTTGGTGAGGCGTCCACTCTTCTTGGTTCCTCAGAGGTGCCGTTTTGTGCAGTCTTGTCGAGGGCTCCCTGAGGCAGGTGGCCTAGACTAGGCCCCATAGCTAACATAGTTGCAGTGTCATGTCATCTTTTGATCATGATCGAGCAGTACAGCAAGGAGAACTGGCATCTCTGCTTCACGCCGAAGTTGTGGATAACCCTTCCTCCTGGATATAAGACGCGGGAGGCAGTCTCCTCCGATCCAGAATCTCTACGACGGAGACAGAAGCCATTCATGTTTCGATTCCGGGATCTTGATTACCGTCCAGCTCAACTCCGCCGATCTGACGTCGATAGCTTCAATGGTCTGATGTAAGGACTTCTGCTTGAGTAGACCACTTTAACCCCGACATCACAAGGGTTCAGACACCCATACCTGGCTCGCAACCACAACTTGAAAGACGGACTCGTTATCGTGGACACCATACGCTTTGTCCACATCGACATCTCATCTCATCTCACTTGCACAAGCACAAGAACCAGGCAACCGTTTTGTTGCACCAAGCTACTTGAAACCCGCCCATCTACCTACCATATTCATTCGCCCGCAAGCGATCAAGGACTTTGGTCATCAACACGCATCCACAAATAAGGAAAAGGAGACCAACTACCCAATCCCCCAGGAACAACACACTGCACACTCGGCAACAGCATTCGCCCAAGGCACGTCCGTTCTGCAGTCAGCAATCCGCCGCCATAGCAAGGGCAAATAAGCCATACATCCAGCCGGCTTCCAAATCAAGTCCCAATCCCTTTCCTCGTCTCTTGAACTCCGCTGCGGACTTTTGCTTCCAGGCGGCTAGTTCACCAAAAGGCTGCTAGCACACTGCTACGACAAGCTACATGCCACGACTTGATACGTACCGGAATACCTCACCCGTACGCACACTCGATCGAGCACAAACGGAACCAGGATCCCTACTCAGTCCGTCCCATTCCAGAACTCGCTGGGCCCGCCCGCGCACCTCGGACATAAAGACGTCGCCGACCGTTAATGCCAGTCCTGGCCAGCGAATCCACACCAGCACCAGCGCCAGCGCCAGTGTCCGCACCCGCAACCCTCCTGTACTCGTACAGTACCGCTCGTCGTCCACGTACACACCGCACACACCCTGCCCTGCTTAGCATTGCAAGCGACCGAACTTAATCAACACAGAAGCTTCCGAGGCCATTTTATTTGTGCATCACATAATCTCGCGCGCGCACAATAGACGCACCCCGTCTACTCCCCGTCGTCTCCCCGTTGCCGCTCGACATTAATAATTTGCCAACGCCCTGCACCCCAGTACCTTGCCGTGCTGACTTTCCCGCCCTCTCGACCCTAGTGCCGCGGACTCTTGGCTGTGTCATCCCGACTCTTTTACCTTTCCTGCTAATCCTTCCTAAACTGGGCCCTTTCGTTCTCGCTATTATATACTTCACTTACACGGCACGCACCCGTTCGCTTTCCACAGACTTATACGCAGTTTGCCCCTCGGTCTACACCATCAACAACCACCTCTTTCCACATCGTCGTACACCCTCCTCTTTCTCTCAACCGTCTCGTAACTATTAATTGTTCACAATGGGAAGCGGTCTACCTACTCCTCCATTGGAGGATCAGAAGTCGAGGAAGAGCTCGTCCAGCTCCAAGTCCATCAAGCCCAATCGCCACACTGCCAAGCGTGCCAGCCCTCACAACGCAACACAACACCACGACCACGCTGCCCAAGGCATGTCTGCCGATGGTCGTCATAAGAGAGTGTGGAAGGCTTGCGAAAGATGCCGCATGAAGAAGACCAAGGTATGCTTCGTTGCCTACCCTTCTCACCACACACACCTAACCCCCCCTGCCTCTAGTGCGACGGAGAATTCCCCTGCAAGAGGTGTAAGGACGATGGTCTAGTCTGCACTGCCGGCGTTCGCAAGAAGACGGAATACAAGCAGCTCCCTCGAGGATACGCCGAAGTTCTGGAGCACACCCAGTTCGCCCTCATCGCCACCGTCCACAAGCTTTACTCCATGGTCAGGAATCAACAACAATGGGACCTGGGTGAACCCGAGCTCAACGACAGGGGACAGCCGGTCATCCACAACATTGCTCAGAAGCTTGGATGTATCCGCCCCAACAGCGACATTGACCTGCCGGTGCACTCGGTCTTCCCCGAGGACGAGGCAGGCTTGGCCGAGCTGGCGCACCAATTGGAAGAGCAACAAAAGGAACGCGATGTCGAGAAGGCGATGAAGGTTGAGGCCGACTCTACTTCTAGCTGCGAACGATCCGACCGCGCCAGCTCTTCCGAGATTGATCACTCCGAGTTCGAAGCCGATTACCGCAAAGCCGTCTTTGGCGGCCACAACAACCCGATGACGATGTCGCCGCAAAGCTTTTCCACGGGCTACACCGAATTCGACGTCGACTCCGTTGCCTCGCCCATCGACCCGGCTGCCGCCATGTTCCAACAAAACCAGTCCCCGCCCATGAACACATATCAACAATGGAACATGCCCAGGCAAACTGCACCCCCTTCCATGGATCTCACGCAACAGTTTTTCCAGCATCCTAGCGCCCTCGCCGGTATGGATATGCTAAACCAAGGCCTCCTTGAATCGGAATTCGGAACCATCAAGCCCCATGTCCTCAACTGCCCGAATCCCGAAGTCATGATGGGCATGGGCGACCCAATGATCTATGGAGGCTACGACGGCGAGCCCATGCGACTATAGCCTGCTCGACACTTCAAGCCTTTTGGGCACTTTCATTATGGATCATGAGGTATAGAGGTCGGGTTTTTGGTTGGGCGATGACCATTGGGCGCAAAAGAACCGGGGCAATGGTTTACGTTTATTTGGCTTTTTAACGATACACCGCTTGGGCGTTGCTTTTCGGGCAGGGCAAAGGGTCTAACTGGCGAGAGGAATGTTGCGGTGCGGCAAGGCGTTCAAGGATGTTGCTTTTTCTGGGATATGTTTGTTGTTGAGAGGGAGGTTAATCACCCATCGAGGACCTTTTTTTGAGTTGGAAACGTGAATGGAGGGGAAAGGGACGGTCAGCGATTCCATGCTACGACGAACCGGTGCGCGCAGCACACAAATCGAACCCATTGTACAAAGTCTTCCATTGTTTTTTTCCTCCATCATGGCCAGGTCCGGACAGTCGGTCCACTTTGCATAGCTTGGCACTGGGCTCTTCTGTCTACTATCAGAAAAGGTTTATCCTTTTTTTTATTACCATACCCCCCTTTTTTCCCTCTTCGCTCTCTGAGAGGAAACAAATTTTTGGGACGGACACACAGAGCTTGCATGAAGCTCGCCAGGGGGTCAAAGTACATTAGCTTTTTTGGAGGTGATAACACTGGGAAAATACCAAAACCACACTCTTCAAACAAGAAAATTAAAAAACCGCTCGACTGTCATGTTTCCTCGTTTCCCCGTGACCCAATGACCTGGTTGTGTGTGTGCGCCGTGCGCTAGGGGTTGCCTGATTGAATGCCTCGAGAACAAACTCAAGAGCTTGGGAGATGGGGGTGTTTTTTTTTTTTTTTTAGGGAAAAGAAGAAAAGAAAAAAAACCTTCTTGACCTGGAACCGAGCTGGCGGTGTAACGCGTCCCTCTTTTGGCCAAGGTTCTGCTCATACCATAATTTGGCGATAGTTTCGGTGGCCCTTCTTTTTTCCCTTTAACTCTCTCTTTCCCTTATTTTGCCATGCCCCTCCCCAAATTTAATTGACGAACTATTACTGCGATATGCGTTCCAAGAGTATTTCCTTAATCGGCGACGGTCCGCAACCGTGCCTCACGTACCTACGAAACATCCCCCATCCCCCATCCCCTCCGCCTGTCGTCGTTGTAGTTACCCTTGCCAGATGATACAGTGGAAAAGCTCGCGCCAGGAGCCAGCTCCGTAGCTTTTTTTGTCTTTATTCATTTATTCTTGCTGCCCTGCTTACCCCAAAATCCCGGAGGGTTTGGAGCGAATGCGACGCTCAGAGTTGCCAAGGGGGGGGAGGGATGAGCCACGGGGTCTCCACGTCGCGGCCTTTCACACAGCCTGGCGACTACCTCGAACCGGGCAGGGAGGACTTCTGGCCCGTGGCCGACGCGGACGGACGAACAACAACTCCAGCAGATTCTACAGAGACAGCAAGAGGAGGCAGAGGAGGAGGGGGTGTGGAAGATGGCCTCCCCGTACCCAGCCCCAAGCTCGAATCACCATCTCCAACCTGATTTCAGACTTTCTTCAAGCTTCTGGCGGCCCCCACTTGGGTGATTGGATCGACCGTACAGCACAGCAGCGTGCGAGCATCTCTAATGAGGATTGGGGGCCGAAACAACAAAAGCTGCTGCCATGGTCACGACGAGACGGAAGCTCCTGTCCACCCGGGTTGCAGACTGCTCGTGTCTTTCCCTCTCTCCATCTCCCCACCCTCCCCTGACCTGACGTCCGCTCGCGAGTGCAATGGGCCCCTTGTCGCGCGTACATTGCATCACCATACTCGCAGCCGTTGCGAACAAACAAAAAAAAAGTTGACATCGGAGGCGGACGAAATACATGCTGCAAGTCCGCCGAGACGGCGGGCGGCTGGTTGGTCAGGCGTCGTCACGCCCCTCACCTCTAAGCCACTAGATAGTCGTGGTCGGTTCTGGACAAAGGTTCCCCTGGTGCATCCGTGATCCCTGCTGGGCGATCAAGGGGGCGGTCGGGGAGGGGTGCCGTGCAGCAGTCTGGCGGCGGCAGCATTTTGTTGGTGGTCCTGCGGCGACGGCTGGTCAATGAGTGGTAGGGCGCAAATGCCAACAGTCTGCGCAGATACCGCAACACACAACGCACGCACGCACACAATCACACATACCTGGGACGGTGAGCGAATCCTACGACATACTGGTACACACCGAGGCAGGAGGCAGGATTAGTCTGGCGACAACGGGTGGCGAGCAGGACGAAGGAAGGACACGGAAAAAACTCTCCAGGCACACGACGGGAAACCGTCTGAATGCGTCCGCCCTACGATCTCCTTCGATCCCAAGAGCCCGCATCACAGCGCTCCACAGCGCATGTGCCACTAAACGCGGGAAGCCCAGAGCGCTGTTCATGCGATGATGCTACGTTTGGGAATGGGCCCGGTGGCGCTGTTGGAGGGGCGTGTTTGGCCGTTTGATGGCTTGTTGCTGTGTGTGCTCCGTTTTGCGCGTCAAAGAAGGGGAGGGGGGGGGGGCCTTCTTGGTGGTTGGCAATTTGAAATGTGATCTCGGCGTTTGTGACGGAGGGCGGGACGGGGATTTGTAAACCCCGCGGTCCGACAGTGGATGACCCATGATGAGTCGATTATTGAGGAAGAAGAAGAAAAATCCCTCTCATTGTCTTTGTTCGGCCTGGTAGTCAGGTGGTGTGTTTGTCGGGCTTCTGCTGCTTCAGGTAAGAGTCGGAGGATACTGTCGTTCGCGGACTCTCAAACTTGGCCGATGACAATGTTTGAAAGGAGACCAGGCAAGTGTTGGCAATGCCACCTTGTGAGTTCACGTGTTGACTTGGGCCGAATGTTTGAGTTGAGCTGATCATGCCGGGGAACCCCTGGATCAGGCTTATTGGGACTCTGTAGACGCTTTGTCAGCGGGCCATTTTTGGGTTTTGGAGAAGCCCCCTTCTCCATCCAGGCCGAGACGACATAGGACGTACGTAGGTTTCCGTTTGGTCTTCAACAGTGGGCATAATCAATTGCCGTCCAAGTCCCCGTAGAGAGAAAGGAGTGCCCAGCACGACGCAGTAAAGCTCGATGCTCGGGGCAAAATGCCATTGCTAATCAAGACAAAGTACCTCGGCTCGAGGTAAACTCGGCAACGAGGACCATCTGTGCCGCAGCACTGAGCTGTCTCGCATTCGGCTCCTCTCAGGTCACACTCTTGCTCTTGTGGGCGGCAGCCAGTATCTGGCAAGCCCAAAGCATGGATGGTTAATACAATTGGCGGGGCGCCGAAACACGGCGGGAGGTTGCCTGTTCCTGTTGATTAATCCAATTTTCTTCTCCGTTTCTTCCTCTGCTCCTTGGCATTTTCTTTTTTTGTTGCTCCATAGTGACAGCAGCCAGTCGGGCTGCAACACTGCCTCGCCCCGTCCCACTCTGTCCACATCGTCGGGAACGGAGAGAAATGGGTACGGTTGATGACCAACCGCCAACGTGGTGGGTGGTCCCCTGCCAGGGGGGTCCGTATTTTAGGCAGGCGATCGTAGAAGATCGGCCGCTGGCGGGAGAAGTTGTGAAAGCGAGCGCGGCTTTTTGTGCAAGCGTCGGTAGCTCGCGATGCCGAACCGGGGTCCATCGGTCTCTGGCATACGCCGTATCCATCTCACCACCGTGGGGCGGCCGGGGTGCGAGCACCGGCGAATACTAGGTCCCAATCCAGGAGCGCGAGAAAACAGAGTCCTGATGACCGGGTCGATCCACCGTGGAGAGCCATTAGGGTCAAAGGCCAGAGCGGCGCAAGAGGTGATGTGCCGTTGGGCAGATTTGGGGGCAGAAACAAGCCGAAAGTTTCGACTCCCTGCGTGATGAAGGACAAGGCGCGCTTGTTCGAAGACGGCTACGTGTTTGATTGGCGCCTGTCTTGGCCTGCTTGGCATTTTCTGTTCTTCTTGTTTCGCGGACCGCGGGCTCGGGGCGCCGGTGCGTGAGTGTCTGCCGCCGTGGGAGCCTCGGGGCCCTCTGGACCCCTAGCCTTCAGGGTAGGCAACGGCCAAGTCCGTCCAAGGACACGTCTTCGGATTTACGTTTGGGGCCAGCGGCAGCCGTTAGCAAGGATCGCGTAAACGGGCTGCGACGGGCACCTTGCGGGTGAATTGCGGGAGTGCACGTGGGCTGCGTTATCCGGGGCATTCTCTTCACGCGTACATGGCCGCCCGAGGGGTGTGGGTGGTGTGTGATGGTCGCTTTCCGTATGCCGCGTGCGAGCCGATTCTGCTACCATCTGAATATGCCGCTGCCAGTGCCTACCTAGCATGGGGTGGTCGACCGGTCTGTCGACCGATCCCTCCAGCACTGATGCTTAGCTTCACCGATTGTGAATGGGCGAGCCGTGGAGCTTCCGCGGATCCAATGAAGCGTTTAGAGAAGGCGTTTGCGGTTAGGACCATGCAAGAGGAATCCTGTTCCTACGTCGATCCGCCCGGGACTCGGCCGATGTGTCGCCCAGCGCGAGCAAAGGACCCCTTGGACGGCTGGCTCACTCTTGACCCATGGTAACAGCCGTAATTCCCGCCTTGCTGCCTCGCATAGGGCCATCATCTCGACCTTTCCCGAACTCGCACTTTCCGTATCTGTCTAATGCCGGTATCTAGGTAGGTGGTATTGATAGGCAATCACAATACGACTTGGGCAATACGCAGGATGCAGGAAGACTCGTCAGCCACAGCTCGGGCGCCAAGCTTCTATACTCGGGATCATTCCTGCCAATGTTGTTTTTTTGTGGTTGTCGACTAACCATTAGCCATTTACGTTGTGCCCAGGGCCTCACTTGTCCTTGGCTTCAAGACTCCATGACCCGGAGTCTCTCCGATGTGACGAGGTGGCTCGATGGGGTGTCAAGACTCAAGTGAGACAGCAGCTTTGGCCCTCGCTTTCCCCCACCCCCCAGTCCCCTTTTCCCCCTCCCCCGCAGCGTAAACGCGTATTAGTCTGCTTGCCTCGTCTCTCGCTTTCCTTGCTTCGCTTCACTCGTTTTCGCTCTCGCAG